ATTATGATACGTTAATTTGAAGCTTAAAGGCTGATGAAAATCACTACGCAGATCATTCATCAATATTATTAATATAAAACTGATTGATCGTCAATTTACAGCGAACAGCGATTCATCTCGAAATGTATCAAATCTAATTGTAAGAGAATTTGATGACATAAAAGTGTCGCTAACTACCATTTATGGTATATCAATCTGAAGTTTAAAATTTACTGAAAAAGACTACGTAAACGTTTCATTAATATTCATAATAGAAAATGACTGGTACTTTGTTGAAGCAAACAATGGATCAACCAATTTACAGCTTGTTATTCTTCATTAGCGTTATACGTTCCAACGAAGAACCAGCTATTTTGGACCAAAAATATTGATGAAACGTATATGTAAGTATTTTCAGCAAACTTTAAGCTTTACAATGATATATCATAAGCGTTAGTTTGCGAAACTTTTATGTAATGAAATTGTGTCAGACCCTCGATGGTTCGACATACGATCGGTTAATGAAAATGTTTATGCATCCAAGAAAGAAAGGAAATTCTCCATTAGCTGTTGTTCCTACTCGAATAAACTTGTTTAATCTTGCGCAGGCACGAATTGCTTGGAGGTAAACAGATAATCTAATTTCCATTTCCAGTATCGTTACTTTTGAAAGCAAAAGTTGCTCCGCTAATCTCTTTTATATTCTTGAATCGTTAACGCGTATCCGATTAATATTCCCTTGCATACGCGTTGCAAGAAAATAAAACTGTTACGATTACGCATAACTTTCCTGTTTTCAGTGAAAGTTGCGCTACGCAATGTTTGCCTCAATTTAAACACATCTTGAGACAATTTTTCTTCGTTGAAAAATAATTATCGATCCGAGGCGAATGTTCGTTATTATCTATCTTGTTATCTCTATTCACTTGGCTTAATCACTTTTTTATGTAACATTTTAAACGATATCAATTCAAAGCTCGAATACGTTTTAACGATTTACGTTGAAACATGATTTAATACAAAAACAATACATTTGTTTGTGGTTCAATGACCATTAAGTAGGAAGATATCTAATTGTAAGAAATATGGAAAATCACCAGTAAAAGCATATATAGATGTCCTTGTATGATTTGTCGAGCCAATTTTCTCTCTTAATCGGTAAACTCTATTCAAGTAACACGGAAAATAACATTTTGAGCAAGCATTAATAGTAATTACAATAACGGCCATTAGCTTGATGAGTTCGAATGAGTTGGACCTAGGGATCGTAGGACGTTTCACCTACCACGAGGTCAGCCCGATCGTAACTGACTTTTACATATCGTGTCTAGGGATATGGGAAACTTGAAAGGATATTTAGATGAGAAATCGTGTCGAAACACGCATATCCTTCCACTCTTCCTTTCCACTTAATATTCGGCGTTATATTAACAGAGTTCATTCATAATAACAAGGTCAGCCGACATTTTTATTCTATATTCTTTTTAAAGAAGGTGAAATAAATCGTAGGTAGGATTTCTGAAATGTTTGTATAAATATAATACGATGCAGGCGTTTAATCGGGCGTAGAAGAAAAGAGATAAGAAAAATTTGGTAACGCGATAAAACAAGCTCACGGTGGTATCAAACACGAAAGGAACGAGCCATTAATCTTCAGGCACAGACCACCGCTGTTACGTGATTATCGATAGCTTATTAAAGCGAATGTAAGACGAAGTAATCCGACACATTGCCTCGTATTCTGTTTCACTATCAGGAATGATAAACGGTTCATTGTCGGATTGCAACCGTTTGTCTTTGTCGGATCACTTTTCATAATACGGGAGAAGAAAGAAAATGAATACGGATCGCGCGTTCTTTTAACGAAGAAACATAAGCTTTTGTGTAAGGAATACATATGACATGGAGAATTAATGAATGTAATTAAAAATGAGAAAGGAGGAAAGTTTGAATTTTTCATACTAGGTACACGTTTTTAATCTCCTCGACATCTTGCTGTCGTATCTAACTTAATAAGTTTCATTTTTATTTTAACGATGAATATTTTTTTGTTTTTTTTGTTTTAGGTACGCGGAACGCAGTCAAGCTGGCTGCCTCCGCCGGTAATCCGTCCGCTGCCGTCGCCGCGTCCGCGCATCCTCCTGTGCTTTGGAGCTCGCGCAGGAAGCCGGGTAAGTAAAGTATTATTATACCATTTACCAGAACATTTTCCAAACATTTTCAAGAAATAATTTAATGATATAGAGACAATCTTTTTCTCTACCTAGGAATTGAACTAACACAAGTTGTTAATGGCGTAAACAAAGGTTAAGGAAGTAATTCATTCGTGTTTGCTCGTACGCATCTGACAGGGCTGCGGACGCGGAGTATGTAATTGGCCCAAGGGTTAATTTCTCCGCGACCGGTTAATTCGATACGAGTCATGCTCCTTTGACCCACGCTTATTGACCCCAGTCAGTCAATTCAGAATCATTCGGTTGTCTTTTAGGATTGGAGAATCATGCAACGCTCGCGCGTTTCGCACGTTTTAACGATGCAATTTTACGATCATCATAAGTGCCATTTTGCACTACTTTTTTATCACGAATAATTAATAGTGAACACTTAACAATTTTTACATTTACCATTACACTGGAAGTTCCGCTCTCTCCAAAATCACAGCTAATATTAATATTACAGTAGTCTCTCGTTATATTGCCGCGGTTAGGGTAAACATTTTTTAAGCTTCCAAACTCTAATTAACTAAGTTGTGAACACACAACTTGAAAAATTTAATTGAAAAAATGAGGACCTTTCGATTGTGATAGAAAGAAGGTACCGTGGCCTTGTTGAAGTTAACAGTGAAACAAAATCGTGGTAGCAGTTCCCTCGACATTGACACGGTTATCAATGCCAATGGCAACGAGACACACTTTCAGACCTATCTTTTCTTCTCCTGTATTACGATATATCTAGCCTTCCAAACGAGTTATATCATTACTTTGGCCCGTACGTGGGTAGGCAACGGAAGGTTGCAACCTCCGTGAATTAGTGGCGTCCTAATTGACGTATCCGTTGGGGCATCTTGAAAGAAAAGTGCATCTGCTAGGATCAACTTTCGACAGAGGAAGGACCTCGTTATTCAGAAATATTCCAACCAATATTTCGAAATTGAAATTCAGAAATTGAGAATAATATTTCTTAGAATGATTCGTTAAAAAATTTATACGAATAAGAGTTAATTATAAGATCATCGATGAGAGAACATCTTAAGAAATAGTCGGAAGGCTGGAAGAAGTTGCCGGTTGTGAGGTAACGGTCGTGAAATGCTCTCAACTCCAAAAGAGAAATCTTCTTCCTTTCGTTTCTGCTCTTTAGTCGTGACGAGTAATAGCGAGCACATCAGACAGATCTTGAAACCACGTATTCGTCAAACGATCAGATTTATCTTACGAATGAAACGTTGCTGGCTTTGTTCGAGCACCATTCATTTCTCATTGTCAAACATCGTCATCTTCAAGGATCACGATGCCCTTTTCAGGATACCATTTTTCTCCTCTATAACTCGTTATCTTATTGTTAGAAAATTAAGCGTCGAAAGCCAGATAGAAAGTGTCATTTTTCTTCTGCAGTCAATTAATTCAATTAATTCAATTTCAACGAACATTGTTGTAAACATTATTATACATTTAGGTAAGATAGTCGGTTTCGGAGAACCAGTAGACAAGTTTGACCACTTGTTTTTTCTCTCTTATGCCATGTGCGGTGAAACGAGAGAGAAGAAGCAAGAGGTTAATGCAACGTTTCCTGAAACATGAGGTAATCTCCGATTTGTAACCGACGTTTCTGTATTCGTAGACGACCGGACAACGCCCGCGCTTCCACTCGCTTTTCATCACTCGACTCGTCAAAAGCGGCGACATCCGCAAGAATATAAGCGGATTGTGTAATTACATTTCCCTCAGATTTTCAGAAGCATATTTCAATTCTAGACAGTGAAAAGAGCAAGGTATAATCCTCCAAGTATCAACCCTTTTCTTTTTTCCAATAGAAGTTGTGTAGATGATCCTCCTTTTAGGATATCAAATTTTCAATTGCTTGTATCTTGGAAAGGAAGGTTCGAATTAGAAATTGATCAAAGAATTTTTCGTTTGATTTTCCATGGAGAATTTACATTATTTTTGGCTCTGCCTGTATAATATTCAGAAGTGACCTTTTTTTTCTTAGCGTTCCCATCTTGCCTCCTGTCTTCTCTACGCTACATTGAATGCTAGCTCATCAGTTGCATAATCCAATGGACTCGTGTAGGTACGCAATTGGAACTCTCGCACGCGCACGTGCATCGTGTGCTTACTGCGTGAAAACGTGACAGACTAACCAACAAGTTAGCCAACTTAGCTGTCGTTTTCTTCCTTCGTTTCTATCCTCCTTGTACATGCTCGATGGATGCCTCTTTCATCCTCGAACGTGTTCCGTTGTCTTTTGATTAAAAAAAGTCTCATTCACAATTTCCTTGTATTATTACCAGAGTCTGTTGATTGATTTTTACAAATGATTGAACACGTTCATTGTTATAGGGTTAATTTAACACTTGGATGACTTAAGAAAGTATTTCCACTTGAAAGAAATTAATTTTCATTTATTTTTCTTTTAGTCATTTAGTTGTCTAAGAGTCATGATACTGGTCAACTGATCGCTTCCATGGCATTCAAAGTGTCCATTTCTTAAGACTTGAAAAATGTCTCCTCGCTGCTGTGATAAAGTGGGGATAAGTTCTGAGAAACGCGTCGTTAAGCGATTTCGTCGTTGCGCGAATGGCATAGTGCTTATACAAATCTAGATGGTGTAGCTTGCTGTAGTCAGAGATTCTCAAAGTCAACGTGGATAAATTTTATTTGAAATGAAAATAATATGAAATACAAAGTTAAATTTAAATCGTGCCTCTCTGCATGGTCCGCCCGTTCGAGGGTTAAGGGTTGCAATTGATTAAGGAATATATAGATACTCGAATGTGAGGTAAGAAAATTTGAGAAACACTGGCATACAAGGAGACCATCAAGCAAAATTATTTTACTTTATTTTCCAGGTATTCGAATATAATTTATTATACATTTCTCTTCATTCCACCTTCAGTTTCTTTCGTCCCTGTTATATACCATTCGTTGGTATACTTATGTAAATAGATGAACGGCCGCGTGGTTATCACACGAAAGCCGATGTAAGCACATACACGTCGTCGAACAGAATAGATAACAATTTTTATCTGGCCTTCCGTCTTCGAAGCCATCATTCTCTTTTGCTTTAGTGACGCCAATGCACTTTGCCATTTTCTCGCCGACTGAATTTCCAGATGATCGGACCACTTGTTTCTCCATGCTCGAATTCCCGTTAAACGTGTGCAATCGATCAATTTTCCTCGTTATAAATGGTTTTCCCTTCGATAACAACATTAAATTATAGTTAACTTCTTTAACCTCCCGTTATCTTTCATTCACTTCAATTTTCTCAGATTTCTTTTGCACTGCAATGCAGGGTAAAGAGGGGGAAAAATAATTAAATTTGTCAAACGATGCTATCAAAAATGATCAAGATTTAATTAAACAAAAAAAAAAACGTGTACAGGAAATCACTTAAATGTAATTCCTCTTATCAGTTAAAGATTAACAAATCTTTCAAGATTTTGATTTCCTTTCTTTTTTTTTTTTTTTTTCTTATCGATTACACTGGAATACCCTTTTAATTCTTGCTTTCTTATCCTTTTGCAGAGCTCGTAGCTTCTCTAAAATCAGTCTTCCTTTCTTCTCGCTAACTGTGAAATTCTCTCTCCTTCGGCTCACCCTACCCTCACCCCTCTCTCCGCACCCTTTCACTCTGTTTCTCTCTGTCGCTCGTTTTGGCGTAATCGTTGTATCTCATTTTATCCAATCACGTCTGTCCCTCCCTCTCTGGTGGGTCGTTTCGAGCCCGCGCCGTGCCGCGAGTGACTCGATTCGACTCGGCTCGGCACAGCAGTCGCGGTTCAACTCTCGTGTGGCAAGCGTCAGGCGTGCGAATAGCGCGATAAGCGTATTATTCATACGCGACCAGATCAAAATTAATGTTTTTATTCTTTTCCCCCTTGTAACGGTCACTCGAGTGACCATTGTTGGTATATTTAAAAGAATTCGTCGAATTTTCATTACGGTGAGATAGAAATTTGAACGGAAAGAGAGTGCGCTCCGCGTGTGGAACGTAAACGTTACCGTGCGAGCGATATCAAATGAAAAAGGAGCGTTTAACGTTCACAGAAAGAGTACGGTCTTTTAAAAGATCGAGGCGATTTCGTAAGGAGAGTAACCGGTGTGTAAGAAGACGAAGTCGGAGTTTTTTGAATCGGAGATCGAAGTCTGACGAAAGAACAAGTGAAAACGTAAACAAGTTGTGCGCGTGCATCACGACATACATGTACGTCATCTGTGCTCGTTTGTGAACGGCAAGTGTTCTCCGGATATCGTTGACATCCATCGATCATTCGTCTTCGAATTTCATAGTGTAACGAATCGCATCGAGAATTGAAAAGTAAAGTGACACAACCAGCGAGAAATTGTTCGATTTTCAAGAATAAATAAAATTATTTAAACGGTAAAATAATGTTGATATCTCGTCGAACGATGAAGAATTGAAACCTTGAAGTAAGTCGTACGAGATTGGAGCGGGAAGTTGCGGTAAAAGCATACGCAGTTGTTCGCCGTATATATTAATCAGCTGTTCCTTCAACGAACCGTGCGCGGTGCACCGATTCCGACTCCGATTGATCCAATCGAACCGCTCGGCGTAATCGAAAGATCGTGAAACGATGCGGTAGACGGGTACGATATCAAATCGAAGGGAACAGCAACAAATACCGGTCGTTCACCTAACCGTGCACACGAGAACCAGTCTCTCGTTCGTTTACCGTCCAGTGTTAACAATTAGTGCCACGTCTTCGAGCGATCGGTTCGATCGATCACTGAACATCCTTTACGACTAATTCTAAGCGTTCGTCCGTCACGAAATGATCCGCGTGAAATCGGACGCGTTGCGTTTGGCTTTTCCGTTCTTGATGATAGTTTGAAGGGAAAAGAGGTGTTATCCTAGTGTTTTCCGAACGCGACCACGTGGGTGTGTATCGGAACGAATTTGCTTCGAAAGTTCGGTTCGTTACGTGGGAGCGATTACACGAGAGGAGAGTAGTCGGCCAGTTCAGTCATCGTACGAATTCCAGCGCGGCGGAAGTGACGATACTCGCCGCTTCCTCGAACTTGTGCCTGTGGAACACGCGTGGGGCGTGTGGTTGCGCGTGTGCTGCGTCCGGAGCCCGGACGTCGTCGGGCCGCGCACAGCCTCGAATCGGACACGGACAAACAGAAGAGAAGAGAAGAGAAGAGAAGAGAAGAGAAGAGAAGAGGAGCGGAACGAAACGGAACGGGTCGCTGGTGGAGGGTAACGGTGACCAATAGAAAAAGAAAAAGTGTATCAAGGAAAGGAAGAAGGATGCAGCCGTGGCGAAGAATCGCGATCCACTACTGTTGTTGTTGCCGGATGACGATCGAACAACGTCCTGCGAGACGCACGGTCGGTCCTTGAAGGACAACCGGCCGTTTTTCGTCTCCGGAGGATGGATTGCTCTCGAAGAAACGAGTTGTACGAGAGACGAGCAGCGGTTCGTTCTTACATGACGACCACGCTGCCTTATGAACCTGATTGTCTCACTTGGTCGAGGCGCCTCGCCACGCTCAGCGCACGATTATGCAGCTGAAGAAAGCTATGCTTAAGATTTTCGATCAATGTGAGTTGCCGATTTTGCTTTATTCCGTTACCTTTTCATCCCTACGAAATACTTTGGCTGAATAGATTTTCCCCGGAGGAACCTTGTTGTTTTCCTGAAATGGGCGTTCATCATAAGGGGATATCCCCTTAATAATCATACTTCCGATATGCTTTACTACACACGCCCATTTTCACTGCGGCTTCTGACACTATGTCACTATGGTCAGACGATGCCACATTGGCGCGAAGATAACGTACTCTTTGAAATTCATTAAATTATTCCTATACGTCATCCTAATGAAAATTGACGTACGTATATCTATCTTCTGCTTGTGAGATTAGAAAAAGAAAAAAGGAAGGAAATGTTAAACGCAGTTGTTTCCGTAATCTCAGAGACACAACAACAAAGCACTATGACAGTGATGTCATCGACTGTCCGATATCAGTTTTAATGCGTTTTTATCTATGTTCCGCCATGTTTTCATTGTTCGATGCAGTGGAACAATCATTCATGAATGAAACGTATTTCAACGTTTACGTATGTTTTGATTCGTTATAAATTGCTTCCTTGATCAGAATATGCTGGATGTATTAAACGTTGCACACTTGAAAGCTGATAAATCTTTTTTTCACTCTTTATTAACAGAAATTTAATTGTTCGTTGGTCTGATTTTTTACCGCAAACAGCGCTACTTTCGAATACACGAAACTTTTCCATCGAGAAGACGCGCCACGTCTGACACCCAAGTTGCTTTCTTTTTCTACTAGAAACGTTGTTCGCTGCTTCTCTACGAAGCGGATCTGATTTATTACCCGTACGATTGCACCGTGCTATTGATAACGGTGCTCGTTGACAACTACGTCGCACGACGTACGCTCTTTCGTGTCTCTACTTTTTTTTTTTTTTATTCCTTTCGACGGTGTACGCACCAACCTGGGTCCATATTAATGAACATTTACGTTGTTCGTTGCATTCGATGCTAATTTTTGTGCGTTGACAAATTTATGTCGGCATGGACGCACAACATGCAGCCGCTTGCAATAAAGGCGTCCAGCGTACGGGTTCTTGTACCAAAAGGCGCGTGCACACGCGTGATCGTAGGTAGCTGCATGCGTACGTAACGTGATTCCTTCATAGACAGCATGGACCCCATTGGTAGCCCCCAGATCGTAATAGCGTAATAGCTCGACAGATTACCAGAAGGTATCGTAAAAATCCATATTCCCTTCGCGATAACTCACTCCCTCCCCCGCCCCCCTATTCGTGCCACCAGATAAATCTCTCCGCTGTGTGTGTAGATTTCGCAGCTGACAAACCTCACGAGCAGGATTGACGAATTGTTCGACAATCGTCTTTGGCATTCAAAATTCGTTGAACGAACGACCGACCGAGCTTACATTGTACCATAAGTTTATCAACGTCACTGTTGCAAGGAAAGTTTGAAAAATTATTTCATTAAATTAAGTTGAAATGGTTGAAAAGGAACGATAAAGTGTAGTTGGATAGATTTGAACGAGTTCTAAGCAACAGTAGTGTTGTAGAAATAAAATCATAATTGGATTCCTGTATCTCTGTAATTACAGCAATGACTCTTTCTGGATTCGCTGCTGCCCCAGAATGTGTACCTTAAATACAGCGTATCATTTTTTACCCTGGTTCTACTTTCTAGGTAACGGTACGAGTTCTATTCCCGGTGTCCACTTGTCGGTACAACCGACACTTTTTACACGCGATATTGCGAAACGAGGCATCGTCGTTTGTTGACGAAAAGCAATATATAATCATTCGTTTCTAACCGATTCGTTTGAGGATAATAATTTTGAAAATTTTCAACTTTTTTACCCATCTTTCTTCAATTTTTTATCGTTTCAATATAAGGATTCAAGTCAGATCAGAGTATCGGCATGTGTGGATGGATAGTTAACCGAGTACTTGCGAGAAAATCGGTTTAGGTGGCGCGGATCTCCCTCTAGCGGTGATAGCGGAAAATAGCGGCACAACATAAACGGAGGACTTGGTGCTTCTCGTAATCGGTGTCGTTACGCAATGCTATAACGACAGTTACCTTGGCCAATGCAAATACGCGTCGTTATTCGCCTAGAACGCTTGCTATCACGACACCCAATCACGTGTGACTGTGAAACGTAACTTTACAAACTTCAGACACGTTGCACGTTACGCTTCTTCGTTTTATGTTACATATTGGCGAACGAACGTAGTACAGAAAACAATTTAGACATTCTCATTATACGTATCTTCTATCTTACCTGTTACGTTCGAGAATGTTTGATAATGTGACATTTGTTTCCAATCTTGGAAACATAAAACAAACTTATCACAACCTTTATCAATATTTTTAAACATTGTAAAATGCAAAACATTCGGTATCTTGAAATACAGATAAAAGAAGGAAGACGTCTATCATTAAAAAAAAAAAAAAATTATATTTACAGGCTTCTGAAATTATTGTTGATTCAAGCATGATTCACAATGAAAGGTCTGAAATTGAAAGCTTTTTAACAATTACCACCATGATTGAAGAAAAAAAGAAAAGTCAAAGGAAAGTTATACCAGAGATTAGGTTGGATTATATAGGCCATTATCCTAAAGAAAATGATATTAAATAATCCCCCAAGGTATCGTAAAAAGTAGTGGTAAAATACGAACCTTGTATACGTGCATGCGATGTACCCTGAGTGTATGAAATCCTTTTATGAGTAGATAACCTCAAGGATACTTGATACTTCTATCGAATCACATGAAAAATAGGTCAATTTCGTGGTCTTATTTGAAGATATATATATTCCAAGATATTCGAAATTGTTGATACAAGCGAAATGTTAAAATTCATACGAAAAAGATGAAATTTTATACAATGTCTGTCATCGGGTGCAAGAAAATTTGAAACTTTAATTCCTCGTCGTTGAATACACTTATTTTCGCGGAGTCTTCCCAATAAACTGGAAACTTTCCAACTAGTTTGTGATTCCAAGTTGTGACTCATCCACGGAAATTGTCGGCTAAAAATTCTGTACACGCAGATCGGTTTGTGTTCTGCAGGTGATACGATATTGAAGAATGGCCGGTGAAGGACAATAAATAAGCGGGAATAGGATTCAAACGAGTTCAGAATTTTTATATCATTCTTTGTTTATCCTTTGATATGTTCCAGTGAAAAATGAAAATTCTTGTATATTTATCATATTTTCGATCTCCGTTTAAATTTCATTTATTTATTTATCTTGCTATAAAATGCAAGCGGTTCCACTCGCAATCTTTCCCAGCTGTTAATTATAGCAGGATCTCGTTTGCGAATGGAACTTTGGTCTGGGAATTTTTCGAAGGAAAGGAAAATTCCCATAGAGGATATCAAGGTGAAAATGACATTATCTTGGATAGAGAGAGATAAAGAGAGAGAGAGAATCGTTGATTTGGGTTAAATGGGAAAGCGTGGTTGTGCTTGCAAGCTTTTACTCGGAGCTTACTCACACACATGACTATCGGCTGAGTTTAATATAGCCGCGTGTCATGCCGCGTTCTCTTCTTGCATACCGAAAGTGGACCTCGAAGACGAGAGCTGCCACAGCTCCTCCTGGCTTTTGCTGCTTCCTCTGTGCTACGTGAACGCGTTTATTTTCCTTTGTCGACTTATTCTGCCTTCCTAGACGATTCGTCCACGTCAAATTAGAAAATGTACCGTTTTACATATTTATATTACGTGATTAGGTATTACACTGGTGATAATCAGACATTAAGTACAACTCTGGTAAACACCATTTTTCATGGGGAGACCTGATTTGATCGCGAGTGTACAGACTTTGTTTTTTTTTTTATTTCATCGTCACTGGTAGACGGAATTGTTGAACTAGAATGGCAGTGATTTCATTGAAGCTTCATCTATAAGTGGGTCAACTTCATCTTGGATGCTATGCACGTGATATTAGCTGAATCAAAAAATACGTCAATACATGTTGAACGCTTGTAGAAAATTAAGTAGCGACACTTTTTGGCATGAAAAAATGTTGATGTTTAATTATACTCGAAATTTCTCGTCCTCCATCATTTATTTTTTTTTTAATAAGGGCAACGATGGAATAGATATTTTTTTTAGGAGGCTGATTTTAATCTTCGAAACAATACAAATCTCCGAAAAAGATAACAACGATGACGTTAATATCTCTTACGTAAGCAAAAGCTAAAAACGGGAAAGCTGAATGGTCTAAAAAACAATTTAAAAATCACAACGCATGCAACATGTTTTGGGTATAATGTAGGTATATGTCCTTTATTTCGTCAAGGTATATTTTGAAACGATCAGAATTTAAAGAATTGTCATCAGAACATTGGACAAAAGAGGTTCAGAATAATTGATGCTTTTATTTTGCACAGTTCTACGTCACGCAACAATTACGAGTTCTATGACGATAGAATAAATAATGAGAAACCGAAAGTATTTTCTGAGACTGTTGCATTCTTGGGATACCGAATATGGGGCCTGGCCCACTCATAAAAAATTATTAAAAGAAAAAAAGGAAAATAAAGATAAATATTTCGTACGAAATGCGATACCAGACACTTGACACCATTCTAAGTAAATACGATAATTCTGAAATTTCATATTTCTCCAAAGTTTAACTTTCGAGCGAAGGGGTTGCTTTCCCCTAGATCGAGATTTTCTCTAGGGAAGCCTGATTTGATCGCGATTGTACGTGAATGATAAGAGCACCCGTTTACTTGGTTTTCGGTTCGCGTTAAACCGAGCGTCGTCGACGAATGCGGTGCCGTTATGTTTCTTACCGCTGCTATGCCTTTTTTCTTTTCTGCTCATGTAATCGTGAGCTGTCCGACAGAAGAGTTATCACAACAGTCTACCGGTGATCCGGAGCGGCGTCGTCGCGAACTTACAGAAATGTGGCGCCAACTCATAGTTCATATTTACATTAGGGTGAAAGAAGAGAAAAAATTACCACTCTGACTATCTTGAGCTCTACCATCCTCGCTCCGTCGTTCTAACGTCGAATTATCGTTCTATTTTGAAGTGAGGAAAAAAAAATTGTAGCGAACAGGTAACTGAAACGAAGAAGAGTGTAAAAGACAGTTTGTCAATCGGCGACGCGTTATCGCGGACCGATGGTCTGAGCCACGCGAACAAATGCGTTCTTCTCGAATCGTCTCGATTTGCTTCACGCCCCACCGTATTAGCCGGCTGTCGTAAACGTATATGTACGATCGTAGAGAACGAATCACAGGAGGAGAGCGATTATGGTAGCCGGTAGCTCGGCAGCTGCCCAGCTGGCTACCAATGACGTACGAAAGAGGCTTTGACGCACGGTGGCGAGCCGGAAGAGAAGAAAAAGGTGGCCAAAAGAAAAAGAGATAGGACGTATACCAACGAGAAGGTTAACGCAGAGAAACTGACAAAAAAATCAGCCTCGAAGAAGCAGAGATACGCGTAGACGCTATTAGATTATATCATATCGTGTAACGACCAATTTCGACGCATAGAAAGTCTCGCATGATTCGATGACAGAAAAGTGGAGTAAAATAACACTTACGAGACGACACAAGAGTTTCGAGTAGCCTTTCTGGTAAGCTTCAATTTCTAAGGATGCGGAAATGAACACGTTCTTCTAATTCCGAATCGCGTCAAAGTCCGAAGGATGCTCCGAAAGAGAAAAGCGGAACGAACGAACGGAGGATTTATCGCATCTCGTTCGTCGATCTCTCTTCGTGTCCGTTGGGGGCCCCTCACCTTTACTCTTTGAATTTATACGAACAGGCCACTGAAAACTTGCTTTTCGACTGGTCGCCCTCATCGTGTATCCCCCTCTTTGAATGCCGGTAGCACCGGTCCTCTTCTCCTGCAAACACCACACGGTACTTCGTCGTTGTGTCAAGTTCAATGCTACCGTTTTTCGTATCTTCCCTTTCCTCTTTCGCTCCTTTTATCTCGTTCTTTTACTCCCGAAGACTCTGTCTCAATCTCGCCTTGGACACGTTCGCTTTTTCCTTTACCACCGCTCATTCAACCATTCTTTTTACCTTATCTTAATTCGATCGATCTCCTTTTTTATCGCATTCCGAATATTATCCTTTTAATTATCATTCGTTCTAATATCAATTTGCCGGCCACCAGTGACCGTGTACGCGTCACGAGTGTGGCGGGTTTGAAAAAAAAAGATAGACGATGATGAAGAAGGTGCATGTTATGAGGTAATTGATGGACCTTGCGCGGATGGAGAAAAAGAAATTCTAATAGCGAGGTTACCGCGATTACGCGGACGTCATCGGCGAGTAGGCGCACGTGAAAGAAACCGTACAGTAAGTACGATAGCACGGCAGGGAAATATGGTTGCACGAGCACGTCTGCACTTTCCTATGAAGCCAGCCAGCCAGCCAGCCAGCCAGCCAGTCGAGCAAGGCAAGCCCGATGCAAAGCGAGCTGTTGTGTGTTGGTGGAAACAGATAGGTCAGCTTGGCGCCACCAGGCCGAGCCGAGCCGAGTGAAGGCCGGTCGGTTGCATGCTCTTGTTGCAGCTTTACTGTTCTTCGATATCCGATCACCGCTACCAACCGAACCAACTGCATACACCTATTGTTATTGTCAATAAAATCAACCATCGTCGATCTATCGGCCTCCGTCACCCTTGGAACCGTGCCCCGTTCGACGATCGTTCGCTCCGACCTTTCGAACCGAAGATCGTTGAAAATAATCCAAGGAGAAAGAATAGAAATTGGTTTAGAAAAATTGGAAATGATAGGAGAACAAGGTTGATATTATCGTGGAACCTTGACGGTTAATCCAATATCACTAGTAACCGATCATTTTTCCAATGTAATTGTGTTGCCGCTGTTATTATGAAACGCAATGATTACAGAAAATTGCGTACTCGATTAGGTAATCAGATAAAGCGGTACACGAAGCGATAGATCGATCTAATTATCGATCGATCTCAGCGTTTCATTATTTATCGTACTTAAATCTAACCGAAATATCGAGGCTGAATTGAGAAATGATTTGACTTTTTCGGTGAAACACTCTTCAGATAATTTATTCGTCGTTTCGAACAATTGCAAATACTACGAATCGATTTGTCTTACGAAAGTTGTACTCACGCTGACGCTAGTGTCACTTACCACTGATAGCGAGGTGATTTCCGTTTATCTTTCCATTGGCGATTACGTTTACTACGGTGGTCGAGTTGTTTCTGAACTTTGCACTGAAATTCTCTGTAACGAAACTGCAAGTCATCAACAAATTACCTAATTGTGCCGAGAAACGTGGTTTTTCCACGTATAAAATACTTCACTGTCGTTTCATTTTTTTTTTTTTTTTTTTTTTTTCTTTTTTGATCTCTCATTTTAATTGACTTTCGTGGAAATTCTCACACGAATATGTTTATTAATTAATGTTATAGTTTACAGCGATTGGTCAATTCATTGGGATTCATTTTATTATCTGTATGCTAATTTATAATTTATTTCATGCTGTGTCGTTATAATTCAATAATTATTTCTCGATTTTACTCGAGCATCGAGGTGACGTTAATCCAGTAGTCGTAGATAAATCATCGCGAACGAAGCTGGAAAATATCCACGAGTCGTTGAAGAAAAGCACAATGTAGTTGATTGCTTTTCTGTCGTTTGGTTACTGTCAAAGACAGAAAATAAACGAGCCAGCGTTGCGCAGCAAACTTACGATCCTTGAGGAAGTCAAAGGCGATCGGTGTGGCCGATCCATTGCTCATTGGTACACTCACGATCAAATTTTATTACTAAAAGCAATTTAATTTAGTAAAGAAGTAATATTTAAAATTTAACATATGAGAAACATGAATAATAAATAAATATCAATTGAAATATTCTCGCGCAGAAGTTTATACCCAAGTGGAGGTATACATACGGGGTCCCCTACGTTGCATTGTCATTCTACCCCGCGATGCTTAAGGGGTAGGGCATCATCGTTTTTCCTGGGGAAGTTTGATTTGATCGCGAGTGTACACAAGATAGGTCAGCTTGGCGCCACCGAGTCAAGTCATGGCGAACGAAGGCCGTTTGCTTGCATGTTTGCTACCTTACTATTCGTCGTCATTCAACACCGGCAGCACCGTAATGCGATTGCTACTATCACCATTAGTGGTAACGGGCTTCGATTCCACGCGATCAACCGAACAATTCGACGAATCACCTCGACACGTTCGATACCATCTAGGTGCAATACCCCTATGGCGTTTGAAATTTTCATAAAACTTGAAATTTGAAAAGATTCACGTTGAAAATGTTAGATAATCGCAATCGTGTGAAAAATTATTAGATTTGAAACTGGTTAGTATCTGTCCTCAGTTTCAGTATATTCTAGTCTGGACCATTTCCAATACTATTACCGGAGACGGCTAGCAGTTATGGCGCGATAATGAGCCATACCAGTAATCAGCGTTTATTTCGAATCGTGGGAACTGTGAAATACGCTAGGTATTGGTTGTGCAACCAATTTGCTCGACTTAAATCTACTTGCCAATTTCACGTGGCAGTTAGTTTCCGCTAAATAATTTTAATGAAATTTCTAATTGCAATTAGGTATATTAATAGAGAAATGTGCTAGAATGGATACGTTGTTAAAATATTTGTAAAGGAAATACGAAGATTCGGGTGTATCAATGCTGGTCGGTCAAACATGTCCTTCCTTCGGCTATATTTTGCCAGAGATTTGTCGTCTGTTAAATTACGGAAGGACGGAATAATCCCGGCATTGCCAGCCCGTTGAAACCCGTGGAAAAACACGGTTACGGCTTACCCAGTAAAATTCCTATGTGGCTGATTTGTTCGTACTGCAAAAAGTCCCATGGTAATTCACCGTTGAATGCTCGAACTGGTAACGGACCAACTAACGCGCCTCATGATCCCTCTGTAATGTCGGTTCTTTGGATCCTGATTACAGGAGGGAGAGGCTAATGATAACGTGATAGTAATCAGGATTTTTCCATCAACTTCAATTTCGACCTATCAAGATGTACTGGAGGTGAAAAATCAAATTTTAGAACTTGAGTAGGAATTAAAATCATTTGAATTCTAACAAAATGCTCCAGTTAGAATTATTAGTATCAGAAATTGAGCATTAAAGAACACTTTACTGCACGATTCCATATTCAATTGCGTGCAGTGTTGATTTAAACAGAAAATCAAGCCTCTGTTTCCTCTTTCCGCGGATACTTTGGATTTAACGTTCCCCAGGGAAAAGATAAAGCTCGAGGCAGACTTGCTTGCAAGTTGTTGTTGCGTGAAATGTTTTCATCAAACTTGCCGCTTCGTTTCTCGTGAAAATGAAGACTTACGATCCTAACAGCGGTAGAAGGAAACGAGGCATCTCTCTCTTGGTCACGCAGAATCAAGGATGCTACAATTTTTTACGCACACACTTTGCACCTTTCTTTTATACAATTTCTCCGAGTTTCAATGCAATTTTCTTTTCTTATTTATTTGTCCTACAAATGCTCGTGGCATTATGCAAATAACAAAAGCACGTGGGCCGTTTCAAAGGTTACTGCGAATTTTCCTGGATCTCAACCCAAACATGTTTTCGACTTGCATAATTTCTTAATAAAAAATGGTGTCACTGTTACACGTATGAAAGAATAACAGACGATGCACGAGGGTCAAAGTACTCGTCTTCTTCGGTTAGATGTTTTTATTATACTGTAGTCATTGTTATAAAACAATCCCGTTAAGTCTACAGAGGACGCAAGAAAAGTGAAACAAGAATTATATTCGAATTTTATATTCGTTTCACGATCGAAGCACTCACCTTTTCAAACATTCTGCATCGTCAGCATTTTCGTTATCGAAAAGAATGCAAAAATCGTAACACGTTAAAAAGACCGAGTAAGATTTTTATCCGATCTTTGGGAAAACGAAGATACCGAATCCTTGAGTTCCGAGAACCTTGTGTTTCTAAAAAATTGTAAAATTTCGTATAATGACGATCGCGTTTCGTCTGTCAAGTAGGCCTGCACTTGCGGAGCATCGAAGAGCCGAGGATGACGGCGGAGACGGCAGCTCCTTGTGTGCAGGGGATGCAAGGGGTGCAGACCGTTATGTCGGTGCAGGGCACGTTGCAACAAGTGCAAGATGGAAAGTCCACCGGTGGTGGTTACTATTGTTCCACTTCTGCCGTTTACGACCCGGAATACGCCCGCATGGAAGCTTGGCTCGACGAACATCCTGATTTCGTCAGTGACTACTTTCTAAGGTTATTTTTATTATTCATTTTCCTCGGCTCACTTTTATTATTCACGCGCCGTCTGCTAAACTTCTTTGCTTAATATTTCATTGATTGCCTCGATTCGATTCGTTAATTGTCTATTTGTATTAATAGGAAGTCATCGATGAATACGATAGCACAACTGTCCTTTTCTATGCCACGTGGATGTTGGAGATCGATAAAACAGGCAATAAGAAAATTAATTAACATTGAATTAAGGAGAGGGAAATTGTTTGTCGATAGGAAAGTGACGAGACAGACAGTGGACATGTGGCTGGTATCACACGCGACTCCAACATCATCGTCGAGCAGTTGCATGGAACTATCGAGTCCGACCCATACGGGTGGTACATCGTCTTCTGGTCGGGGTGGTTCTGGTGGATCAGGCGCGACCACCCCCGTTCGAAAGATCTCGGCTCATGAATTCGAACGCGGTGGTTTGCTGAAACCGATCGTTAACACGATCGACGGGACCCCGACCTTCCTGAGCGTGTCACCCGGTGATTCCGGCCAACCGGGTGTTCAGCAGGTCGGTTCTGGAAATTCGAACAGACCTCAAAGACGATCCAGACACGAACTCAGGCATCTTGACGAAAAGGATCTCATCTTTGAATTGGTAGAATAATTTTTTTCATCGTACGATGCGTTGATTATGGTTTAATTTTTTTTTTCTTCTTTTTTTTCCGTTTGAAACGTATCTATTAAATAGAGGAATTGAATTTGATCGTAGGTTAAAGACATCTGTAACGAACTAGACGTGAGGTCGTTGTGTCACAAGATCTTGCAGAATGTGAGCACCCTGTTGCACGCGGATCGTGGCTCGCTGTTTCTCGTACAGGGCGAAAGAGGTGGTGGTTGCATGCCTTCATCGCAAAATCATGATACCTCGTCGAATAATACGAGTGGCAACGCGAACCTAAATAAAACGGGGAACGGGAACTCGGGACAACGTGGTGGCACGGGATACTCGAGGAGCAGATGCCTGGTCTCGAAGTTGTTTGATGTGTGTTCAAGGTCGACGTTACTCGAGATGGAGAAGAAAGACGAGATCAAAATTCCCTGGGGCACGGGAATTGTCGGATACGTCGCTGAAAGTGGAGAACCTGTTAACATACCAGATGCTTACAAGGTAAAGATTTATCCAAGTGTCGAAGAGAATTTTTATTAGAATAGAATTCTGACGTGGATTCGTCTGATATTTCTAGGACTCGAGGTTCAATCGTGAAATCGATGCATTAACAGGGTATAGAACAAGAGCCCTATTATGTATGCCAATAAAGGACTGTAACGGAGATGTGATCGGTGTTGCCCAAGTGATTAACAAACTCGGTGGTGAAGGACAATTCACCGCGCAAGATGAGAAAGTTTTCGCTGGTTATTTGCAATTTTGTGGAATTGGATTGAGAAATGCACAATTGTACGAAAAGAGTCAATTGGAAGTGAAAAGAAATCAGGTTAATAAATTTCTGATACAATTATTTTTACTTCGTGTCATATGAATTTTAAATAATCCTAATAATTATAGGTACTTTTGGATTTGGCTAGAATGATTTTCGAAGAACAGAGCACAATAGAACACATGGTGTTGCGAATATTAACGCACACCCAATCGTTAATACAGTGTCAACGGGTACAGGTGAATTAATCTTCTTTTTTCTTATTTCTATTTTAGTGAAAAAAAAAAGGAGACATCTATCTGTGTATCTATTCTCTTCAGGTTCTCCTCGTGCACAAAGCATCGAAGGGTAGTTTTTCAAGGGTATTCGATTTCGAGGCGAACGATCTTACTGGCGAGGATTCCGATTCTCGCACTAGGTGAATGAAGTTTGTAATTACGTTCTTATTTTCTTTTGTTCAATTACCATCGATCATTCAATTTCCTCAGAAACCTTACATGTATTCGGTTTTGTTCATGCAGTCCATTCGAGAGTAGATTCCCAATAAATGTTGGCATCACTGGTTACGTTGCTACAACTGGTGAGGTAAGTATAAGTAATTAAACCAGAAACGAGCTTTAATTAATATGTTTGGTTTTTTAAAAAATCATTTTCATTTTTATTACGATGAATAAATCTTTCAGACGGTAAACATACCGAATGCCTACGAGGATCCAAGGTTCGACCCTTCGGTTGACGATGGTACCGGTTTTAGGCATCGTACCATACTTTGTATGCCCATCAAGAACTCATCGGGTCAGATCATCGGTGTCATTCAACTGATCAACAAGTTCAACGACCTTGCCTTTACAAAAAATGACGAGAATTTCGTCGAAGCGTTCGCTATTTTTTGTGGCATGGGCATTCATAATACGCACATGTAAATATACCAAAAAGACGCGAGCGTTGCGTTTATGAATGGTTGATTTAGCAAACAAAAATTTTCTAGTTTACGTTCATTTTTTATGATTCATTTAGGTACGAAAAAGCTGTGATAGCAATGGCCAAACAGAGCGTCACGTTAGAAGTATTGAGTTACCATGCTTCGGCATCGTTAGAAGATGCGCAAAGACTAAGGGTACGTTTTCAAATTCAATTCGGAAAATTCGGAAAATTCGCAAATTAATACTTGTGTCGAGCTTCTTTATTTTATTTTATTACAGGGCTTAAGAGTGCCTTCATCAGCGAATTTTCAATTGCACGATTTTAAATTTGACGACATTTACATGGAAGACGACGAAACATTAACAGCCTGTCTTCGCATGTTTTTGGATCTCGACTTTGTCGAACGTTTTCATATCGATTACGACGTACTTTGTCGTTGGCTTCTAAGTGTAAAAAAGAATTACAGAAATGTTACCTATCACAATTGGCGTCACGCATTTAACGTCGCTCAAATGATGTTCGCTATTTTAACTGTAAGTTCAATACGTATTTTATCAATATCGACTGCGTATCGACCGAATAAATAATAAACAAGAAATATGTTGTTTTTCAGGCCACACAATGGTGGAAAATTTTTGGGGAGATCGAATGCCTTGCGCTTATTATCGCTTGTTTGTGTCACGATCTAGATCATCGAGGCACAAATAACTCTTTTCAAATTAAGTAAGAGAGGAAACAATAATTTTTTATTTAATTCCCCAATAATTGTAATTTCATTGAATGATCTTTTTCCATTTCCAGAGCATCGTCACCGCTCGCGCAACTCTATTCGACATCGACGATGGAGCATCATCATTTCGATCAGTGTCTGATGATACTGAGTAGTCAAGGGAACCAAATCCTGTCGAATTTATCGCCTGAAGAATATTCTCGCGTGGTAAAAGTTCTCGAAGAGGCGATCCTTTCTACCGACCTAGCGGTATACTTCCGGAAAAGGGGTGCTTTCCTTAGTTTAGCCAGGGGTGGTGATTACAATTGGGCTTATAGCGATCATCGAGAACTTCTACGAGGAATGTTGATGACCGTCTGCGATCTGGCGGCTATAACGAAACCTTGGGATGTCGAGAAAAGAGTAGCAGAATTAGTCAGTAGCGAGTTCTTCGAGCAAGGAGACATTGAAAGGCGGACCCTCAATATCACTCCCATTGTAGGTGTTACTATGATTTCAACTATTTTATCATCATTTTATTTTTCACTGTAATTGATGTTATAGGACATTATGAATCGAGAAAAGGAAGATCAGCTACCAATTATGCAAGTTGGCTTCATCGATTCGATCTGCCTTCCTATTTACGAGGTAACTTGATTTCTATACAGGTATAGCTTACAGAGAGGAACGGTTAGGCTTTTAACCCTCGAAATACAAATTTTTCTACGTCTGTTAAATATATTTTGTTTTGTCAAATTTGTTCAAACAGGCATTTGCTTTATTATCGGATAAGTTGGAACCATTGGTCGAAGGTGTGCGCAAGAATAAACAACACTGGCTCGAAGTCGCTGAATCCAGATGTAAAATGGAGAACTGTACAAATCACGATAGGACGCCGCCGATGTCCGATAACGAAGTAGCCAGTGAGCAGGCGGACCAATAATTATTCTTATCGAAACGATAGAACATAAGTAATAATATCAGATAAATAGGAGCTAATCCATGGATTATAGTTTTTGCCTGTTTTTCGGAACAAAAGAAATCTATGGAGGCAGGTGTTCGCCATCACAGTATATTCTTTCAGCTGTGCACCTTTGTCTCGATTCTACAGGGTGTTCCTGCGACCCGCTGACAGAACCGGAAACGGAATGAATCTACCTGAGAAAGTAAGTCGAGGATGTGGAGTGAGATTTTTTCGTATTTTAAAAAACTATCACAGCGTATCCTGGTGTTGGCGGGAAGAACTAAAAATTAATATATCTTTTGCGCTCCCTATCGGCAAAATCAAAAAGCTCATTTGGTGCACCTGATACTAGATAGCGCCACATATTTAACGCGGTTTTTTTTCTTTTAAAATACAAAAATTTCAATAATCCTACATTTTCGACTTACTTTTTTAGGTAGATTCACCCCTTTTTCTGAGATGCCATCAGGTCGAAAACACGCTGTATATAGGTATTACAAACATCATGAGTTATAATTTATTCATTTTTATACTGATCGTTGAGAAACATTCTTGGTATTAATCATTCGTGATTGCAATTGCAGGAAGAAATAGTAAATATTTTTTTTTTTTTAATTATTGAGGAACCAATTTTGATTGTTTTCTTTGGTGTCATACAAAGTTTAAGTTTAACTCGTAACTGGTATGAGATAAAAAAATTTGATGAAAATTACATTTATTTTTATTTTATATACAGTACGTTGTTTTTAGCAGTTAGCATAACTTGTACAATTAAATTTCGACTTTTTTTTTTAAAGAAATTATTAAGATCTAATAGATTCAATCATACCAGATACGGGTTAACAACTTGTTCCAATACCCGAGCGTCTTAAAGATGGGAAAAAAGGAATATTATCATATACATGGAGGCTTGAAGGTAATTACGTTTAAGACGATCGAGGAACTTCGTCCTCTCTTTAGTAATAAAATAGATCACCCCTTAGATGCTACTCTTGTACCTGATCGTATTATACGTATACTTATTATGGCAGATCTTTGATGTTCAGAGAGGACGAAGAAGAACAAGATAAAAGCTATGAAAAATGAAAAAAAAAAAAAAACCCACCAGGAGGAGTCACAACAAAGTCGATCTTCCTTTTGTACACGATGCTCATTACAAATTGAAGACCTGGATCATTTTCAACAAAAGCATCATTTTTTTTTTTTTAATAAAATTACCTATTGTTTTAGGTGGACCTTCAAAACATTCTGCATAAAATTTTTAAAAATTATTCGAAGTTCAGAAGTGAGATATTTGAGAAGAAGGTTTGATCTTCGATACAGTCATCTAGGTCTTCAATTAACGAAACGAATGATTCCTGAATAATTCATATATACAGGTAAAGGAAAAAAACAGCTCTGTCTTCTTAGAATCGCGATTTATATGAAAATTTTCTCCATTAGTGCGGAGAGAAACTCGTTCGACTATAAATCGAATCGTGTTTGTAATTTATATATAATATATTCGTGGAAAACCAAAGTGCACATTTTACACATCAAGGTTAATCGTGATCTTTATTGCTTAAATATGACAATGATTTTAATTGTCTGTTGTGCGTGCTGATTATTATATAATTAGTAGTTCAACGGGGGGATATGATTAAAGTTTCCCCGTTGTTTATCTTGCTTATCATTAATGTTTTTTTGTAACATACATTTAGACTCGAATTATCGTTTTTTCTTCGCACAGAATCATACAGATCAAAAAAGGAAAAAAAAAAGATACGCCTTTAAATTCGACGGAAACATATCATTATTGATAATTTGCATAAGATGATCGTTTAAAAATATTATGATTAAGGGACGACGTGTCTTGATTCATTTGAGTCACGGAAAGAAAAAGATACATATGTTCGTTGAAAAGCAAACCGAAAGATATTTGTAAGTTATAAGTTACGTCGTACAGTATATAACTATAGCTGTGACTTTGAATTTATAGCTATAATTGTAGCTTTAATTATAATTATAGCTATATAATTAAACCCTATAAATATCTTTCGTTGCATTTTCATCGCTGGTGTATCATATTACTTAAAAAATCAAAGTATCTTCTTGAAAGATATTTTATTTCACAAATTGTGTATGCGTACATTGATCCCAATTAATAGAATGATAGATCAGCAGTTTTGTTCGCGTGTGATTTGTTACTTATAACGATAGCTCGTATCTCTTATATGTTCCTTTATCATTGTTCGAGTGTCCTTGTATTGTATTCTTTTTTTTTTTTTTTTAAATCGTCAATAGACTCTTGTAAATTTTCATTGACTTCGTAATGGGAGAGAGGGTGTAAAAAGTATGATAAATAATAATTTTTCTGTATGACTGTCAAATCGAATGAATGATTTTTTGATCGATCGGTTGAGAATAACGGTGTTGTGTACAGTTTTTCGTGTAAATTATTGATACGACGATGTTTTAGGGTGTATGCCGTTTAATATTACGATTTAACATACGATATGAGAGTCATATATTATATCAAACAATATCTAATATATTAAAGCGAAACTAAATTATGTGATACACGTATGGTTGGTCTCTTTTATTTACCCGCTGTTTTATTTCTTGTCATATTTAAAAAATTCTCTTTTACTTAAATTTTATTAGTACTATAATATCAAATATTTCGTTTGAAATTTACCCTTTTTAATTGAGATGTTTCGTAAAGTCTGTTAACAGGTTGTTGTTAAAGCCTTGATCGATCGTTGAGATAAAATTACATTAGCTGTACTTTAAAGTGTTCACTTAAGTGACTGATGACTTATTGCCAGACCAGGTACGATCATAGTAGAGGCCGAATCAATAGTTGACAAATTGTATTTTGCAATGTGGGTCAATCGGCGACACATAATAAGATGTTGCAAGCCTATCTCGACGGACCTTGATCGCGGATGCCAGATGCATCGTGAAAATCGGCCAACTAACATAAACGCAATAAGAAAGTCCATTTCTTTCATTTAAGGAAAGAAAGGTAAAAGGAAGAAAAAGAATAGAAAATAGTCATAAAGTTTGCGTGTCATCTTTAATCGAATGCATTTACATAATATTGTTTCGTATGAAATGGAAAAATCGTGTTATTGTGATATTACTCGTTCGAATTTCAGGTTCCTTACGACAGTCAATGTAAATTCGTCTCCGGCTTTGGCAAGTCGATCTTGGACCTCGCAGTGTCTCAAATGATGTATGTCCTCCCCGTTTAGTTTCACGACCATGTCACCTGCTTGTATACCCTGCTGATCGGCCAACCCTCCGAGTGCCACCTTGTATATTATTTAAAAAAACAAAAAAAAAAGAATCAAAATCTAATTTTCTGCCTCTACCATGCAAATCCTTTTATTAAAAAAACATGCAAGGAAATATTCCGCGTTTTGGATGAAAACTACCCCTATGAAAAGTTTTGAAAAATTCATTCAGCACACGGCATCGTCTCATCTACGATTCGATTAATGACTTCCTCTTTTTTTCTTTTTTTTTCAGACCGATATTGAGTCGAACCACCCACAGGATTCAGGCCGAACGAAAACGAGGTCACGCGATTTGATACGAATGCAATGGTGATAAAAGCCCCGAAAGCAGAAATCTCGAATATTTCGTCGGATCATTTTTTGGCCGGAATTCATTAAATTATCAGCATGCATTGATTTCACTTGTTATTCATTACTGGGACACATTCAAACAAGTGTGAGACTTGTATTTCGAAAATCTATTTGACTACTTTTGAATGCATTCTGTTAGAACATTTTTTGTCCAACAACAATCTACTTAATATCATATAGTATACGTTACCCTCACAACGGTTAACGGAAAACAGAAATCAGCCCCTCCTGATAATCGAATGCCCAAGCGTTGTCCGCCTTTTCGCGACAGTTTTATGTCAACGTCCATGACTATGATTAACGAGACCGATGGATGCTGAAATGAGTAAACAATTGGTATACAGAAACAAAGGGTAACCATTTCGTTACATAAGTGTCTCATATCAGGCGCAATCTGATACCTTTTATAAAAGAACCATTCGACAAATAAACAGCTTTACGCGAAATTACCACTATCACAGTGTTTATAACATTTCACATAAGAAAAAAAGAATCGAAAAAAATTCATAGATTTCAACTTTAAAGTCAGAAGATTAAAATTTTTAATTTCTCAATTCACTTTCTAACACTTTCAGTTTTTTTTTTTTTTCAGGTTCGGCCCCAAATTTTGAGGAAGAACAAGGAACTCTATTCACTCACCCTAAATTGATTGGCACTTGGAAGAATCTGTCGGATTTAGAGGAGACAAGAGGAGTTCTCGAGAAGCTCGATCAAACAGTCAGCGAGGATATGTATCTGTCGATCGCGTACGCGATATTTCATGACCACGCATACGTAAATAAGCGATGGCCAATGTCCGAAAATTGATCATGACTTAACCACTCTATATCACGGTTGCCGCTATTCTAGAGCGAGTACAATGCGGTGGCTGATTACGAATTTCAAACTATAGACACGCTATACCCTACATACCGTTTCAGATGCAACAAGCTTCACGAGGCTACCTGTATACATTTATTATTTGTTTATTTACAGACAAATAATTCGTATATATATATATATGAGGCCTTTTCCTTACATTGTTATTCTCCGCAGGGATGCCTGGGGGGAAGGGTGAAAATCGAGGATATAACCATTTTTCTGGTGAAGCTTAATTTGATCGCAAGTGTACACCGTATATTTATTGAGATTTATTTTCATTCTCTCTTTATTAGTTGTAGGTACATAACGAAGGTAAATACAAAGATTAATAGCTAACAGGTTGTCGTTTCCACCCTTTCTTTCGTTTTCACCCTTAACAAGGGGAGAAAGTGATCGATAAGTGCCCTTCGTATAAGCACGTAAGAAATATCGTCCAAGTACCTGTTCGATAAATTTTCATACCAATAACAAGTAAAGTTTGTTATAAACATTCAAGTAATTGACTAATACCTAATAGGGTAATGGATTCATACGGAAATTCTGGCGTTTAGTATCATTAGATTTAAGGGTAAAACTCGCGCTTGGAGCTCTTGAGATCTTTTTTTTTCATGAACACTGTTAGAGTCAGCTCCAGGATTCTCTCGCGAAAAATGCTTCCTCGCGGAAGTTTTACTCTCAGATGGACAGCTAGGTAGTTTAAGAAGGGCAACGTAGAAAGGCGAGGCAACCATACCTGACTATACTCGCTGTGAATTTCCTCGAGTGGAGGGCAAAGTTTGATTTTGCTGAGGGCGCACGCCCCGCTCCCAGCTGCACAACCGACTGGCCTTTAACCAGTCACGAACGGGTCTTCGTTCGTCACACTCTGACGAGATGTGTTTATAGTTCGTCGTTCAATCTATTTTTCCTCTGTTTCTCTTTTATCGAGTGAAAACACTGTTATCCCGGATTACGTGTATCTACCTAGTGATCGCTTTCCCCTTTGTTCCTTTCGCCCATCGTCGAAAGTGATGTTGCTGGAATCGAAGGACGTACTCTGTCTCATGTGAGTCCTTAATTAGAATGATTTAGTTTTTAATTTCATCGATTCGCGTCTCGTTCATTTTGAGAATGTAGAGACGGGTTTAAGTGAAAGGTGAGCTAGATGGGTGATTAGGGTGCTTGTGACGAGTTGGTGAATTGGAGTGCAGAATACTCGAAGTGATACAATCGAGGAAAGTACAGTAATTTCCAAGAAATTTACTTGACATTCTTTTCTGCTAGAGAAATTCTTATTTATTATTTATTAATTAATCCATAGATTTCAAGATTACTGAAATAATAATTTCTGTTCTTTCTTTTTTTAATTAGAAATTGGCACACTATTTTCTAAGGATAGATGAAATTTGTTTTAGGATACGTGTGTCCTCTTATGTAGAAGTAGTAAATTTGATAATCCTGTAATTGCCACACATGGGGTATTTTATGTACCTATGGCGAAAGAAAACGAGGGAAACAGAAAATAGGATAAATTGCTGTTTTATTCAACCCCTTCTAAGACTCTGGTCACTAATTTCTACTTAGCTGACCCTTGTCTAACAACGGATATCAATCAATTAAAAAACACCGATTTTCATGGAATTCTCTTTTAATATAGAGCTAAACAAAAATATTTTACACGTGTTTTCTTTATTGGCAAACGTCCAGGTTGAAGGGTGGGAAATAGATTTCAAAGTTGTGGTTGAAAAAGGAACTTAAACTGCAACCAGTGAGAACATTGAAATGATAGAAGATTTGCAATAATATAATTACATACATAATGTGTATGATTAAAAATGTACATATTCCAAATTCGTTTCCTTTCATCCATATACTGAAAATAGGTAATGACTGAACAATGAAAATTTCAGTAGCGGTGAAAATTGCTACTAATTGATGCTAATTGTAACTTTTTAACAATTGAAGTTACTCATTGTAAAACGTAATGGTATTTCATTGAAGCGAAATTTTCTTTGTACACAACCAATATTAGTTTCAGCCACCGTATTGTTTCTTGATAGCCAAACTACCTTTACCATTTTCATACCGGTTGGCTTATTGGCTGCCAGCCATGAACAGTATTTGACACTTTATAGCTGGTTTAACCGGTGTTACGTGCAAAAGAAATTTAAGAAAAGATTAAAAATCTGTTCTGTATTTGTTTCAATGGATATCAAATGCAATGAAAAAGAAAATTATAAAATTATGATTATACGTAAATTGTGTTATGATAAGTATAATCATAATTGATATAATATTGGTAATATTGAAATTTTTCATTCTACTATATTGAATTTATTCTATCAACAAATGGTACTCAATTTACTGACGATGAATGAAAATGAAAAGATAAAAGAGATGTCTGACTATACACGTGCTCGTACTACTTAACCCTCGGCCGGCGGATCGCTGAGATAGCAACAATTTCAATTCCATTCTAAATTCTATCGACTTTCATTTTCTAAGCTTAAAATTATATCTTTAGTTATTATTTTTTCAATAAAAATCCATCGTATTATGTAATTTTAACCTGGGTTATAATTTATTAGTAATAATATTAATGCTTAGAAATTTATTTATTCATAGTTTATCTACAGTTTTTTTTTCCTTAATTATTAATTTTTTACTGTTAGTAATGCTTAGTTAGTATGATATATAGAAAGTGCAGTCTCTTTCCATGTATCCTAGCTTCAGAAAGAGAGGGTAAAGAGAATTAAAAAATGGTTTATCCGTTTCTTTTGTGAAACTCCCGATTCCTCAACAGCCGATATCCATTGAGAGTCGTTCTATCTGTTGTATCGATTTTTCCTGAAATCCGTTGTTGACCTTAATAGCTGACTGTCGTTGCTATCTCGGTCCAGCTTGCCTTCAAACGGCCAAGACCTCCTTAAACGCACCGACTACGAAAATTGCATTCAATAAACACAGTAAAGGTACTCTAAAATGGCTATTACACGGGGTAACAAAAGGGCTGGTAACTGTTTGAAAATTGTACCAAACTGCTTGAATTTCTTTTGAGAAGTTTGAAGAATTAACGTAGTGAATATTAAGAATATTAATCAACCATTTATATGGCAATTTTCATGAAATTTCAAGCTTGAAATTGATGTAACGTAAGTGGTATTTCACGATACTTTTATGTCATGAAATCACAGTATTACATTTCCGGTACGCCCTGTTTTAACCATAGGTGACTGAGCCAACAGCTGATCAGAAATACACTTACAGAAACGAACACCTGTAGATACAGACAAAAATACAGAGTAAGCATTATACAATAATAAAAAATTGTTCACACTAATTGACTTGTTGTATCACTTGAAAAGTGAAGTGTGAATGACCCTTCACTGTCTCTGTATTTTTGTATGGAATTACATGATTCAAACGTCAGTAATTGATGTTTGAATTATTATTTATCACGAATGTCTTAAACTCTTAGAACATAACATTAATTGGTTGTGACAACTAATACGATATATTGACGTTGATCGTAATACTGTAATAACCCCTAATTACCATCAGCATGCTGTTATTCCACTAATAGCTTCATTAATGGGTAAACGATTATCGTTAAATCTCCTGTATCATAAGTACAATTTTCACTAATTTTCGTTAACAAACATTTCATGCAATTTAAAGTAAAACATTGAAAAATTACATAGGCAAAATTAATCCATATTTCCCGTAAATTGAGAAAGGTAATGGTATTGCAATCTAGCTAAGTCAAACATGATACAGTACACGAGTTCACCCATTATACTCGGGACAGTAGGTTGTTTGGAAGATGAGGATATTATTGTAATTGTTCGATGGAATGATCTCGAGAACGATTTAAGTTACTTATTATATTTGTCTCCGGGCGGAGTGATAGAAAAGGAGGGGCAGGGAGGAGCGCCCTGGGGATAGCTGGTTGTGCCGGTGGCTGCATCGATCGTTTCAACTGCGCGGTAAAGCTCTCCTCGCATGAACGATGTGGTTTTCCTACGTTGAAAAATATCATCAGTCTCGATAACCAGCAATTATACCAACCGGTTAACCATTGGGTTTTGTCATTTTCCCTTGAAAATTTACCCTAGGATCTTTATAACGAATAAGAAACAGGTGGATATCATTGACTTGTATCACTGAAAGCGTACAGTAGTAGACACAAGTTTAAATTTCAAACTGTATAGAGGATGCCAATATTTTCTTGATCCACTGTAGCCCTCTAATCTTCGAATAAACGAATAGAAAACTTCATTAGATAGTTAGTTAAATAATTGAATATTCGATAACGCTCGAGCTTGATACAGTAGAAAGTTTTATATTGCTTTTACAGCTCGGTTCGAGCGGTGAACAATTATCGGATTCGTGACGAATTTTTGTTCTGAAAATTGCCCCAGTTCTGGAGCGGACTTTATCGTCGACAGATAAAAGTGACAGAATTTAATCGCAAACGAATGACATTTACTTTGCTGAAAAAGAGAGAAAAAAAGGAAAACTAACAAGCAAATATTTGAATGAAAAATTTCAGAGAATTAGCTTTTCTTTTTTACAGGAGACAAGTTTTATAAATGAAATTTCTGGTGACAGGTCTATTAACAAGAGACACTACTTTTATTTCGTATCGTCTAAAGTAAATGAAAATAATGAACGGTAGTCGTGATCCTCGTGACAAAGGTCTACTTGATGAACATTCCACGACGATAGACCTCGAACTACTTCCCTTACCCTTGGGAATTCTCTTCATGGTCAAGTGTATGATAAAATTACTAAAGCATCTCGCTCTTTATTGTCAAGTAGAAGTAAAAGACGATTGTTTTCAAACCCGCACAATGAGTATACCGCTTATGGTATTTTTTTCATTCAACAGAATATCGTGTTCGCGATGAATGATCCTTGATAGATCATTGAGGTGAATCAAGAGAATCATTAAGAAGAATGTCTAGGATATTAGAAGGGATGGACGAATGCCCCATGGACCCGGGGCTGAAATTTGACACCACTTGAATGCAAAGAAAAAGGTCGATTTCCAAAATGATCACCTTTTTTGGAAAACTTTCTTCTGCTTTTAACAAAATTAATTAAATTACAGGTACAAATGAGCAGGACGCGGAATGGGCACATCCTGGCTTTTGGCCCTGCTTCCTGTGACGATGACGACGATGACAATAATGTCGTACATCACCGTAACGACGGCTACTTCAACATCGGTGCCGTCTATTACTACGGCTACCAGCAACGATATTCTAGATACAAAGAGGGTAAAGGATTCACGATACAACAGTATCGATGTGATAGTATTTTTCATGAATAAAATAATCAAGATTTATTTTTTCCTCGAAGGCGGATATTGAGAAAGCTTTGGATGTGATCGAAGCGGCATCAATTGGATCGTTGGGTGAAGATTGTGCCACGACAGCTGGTTTTAAATCTTTACCAGCTGCCGTAGCACTTGATCCACGACGTTACGATACTGCTCGCCAAAAAGCTGATATGACCGCTCTTATGCTCCAAAATCTTGGCACCATCGGAGGATCAAGGCATAACGGTAAGTGTCAACTAATTAAATTGAAACTTGCTTAGATGGCAACTCTAATTTAGAACCTGTATACTGCCGATCAAATCAGGCATCGCCAAGGAAAATTTTATAACTGAATTTTATAATATTTGAATAGTTAAAAAGTTGTGTTATTACAGTGCTTTTAGAGGTGTTAGCGAAATCTCTGCTGGTGTCCGTGAACGATGCAGTAGAAACAAGAGTGATGGCGTTAAATGCATCTACCGGTGCAGTGATCAGCGCGGTTTGGTTGGAAAGAAATCCAGCTAGTGTTGGAGAACCGTCAAATGTTGAGAGTAATGGACTCCAACCAGGATCTATACCAGATCCAAATTTGCCTTGGTTCGAAAATGCTGGTACCACCACGGAATTGAGGTTCGATTCATCTGCCGTATAATTTACGGAATTGCACCTCGATGCATTTCATGCATGCCATTTCACCACATTCTGCATGCCGTTTCACAAGGATAACACATTTCTTTTTTCCACAAATCTTGATTGCATTGAAAAATATATTAGAACATTTTTTAAATCATACCAAAGAATTATTTTTTTTTTAATTTTTAACAAGAAAACAAATTCTTTTCTTTTTTTCAGTAATTATAAATTATTAGAACAAGGTTACTTCATTTTTAATTTAGTATAATTTTAATCTGATTAGTGATGGATAACACTGTTTGATAACGCCAGAAAAAGCCATACATTCATGTGTTTGCACACACTGTCTCAAAAGAAAAACCTGCACGAATGCACCAATGCAATAAAACGTTTCTGTTTCACGCACCTCACCTTTCATACGTAATTTTCATTTCCTCTTCTTGGTAAAATAAAAGAGGGAAAAATATTGAATGACTGTATCCTGAAAAGTTGACAATGTTTATAATTATTTTTACCGAGAAGAGAATATAAATGTTTTGTAGGCGCTCCACGATCATTCATCATCCTTCATTATTTCATACAAGCGTCAAGTCATAGAAACTCGATACACGATTACGTGAAAATGGAACACGTTTTCTTTTCAGAATTGCTAAAAAAAAAATCGTTAAGAAAATTATTGTCTGAATGTTTCAAAATTCGAAACCTAAAAAGTCTTTTTGTTTTATGATCCTCACAGTAGTCTATCAATTATTAAGCAGCAATGTATGTTTTATCCAAGGGATATGAACAAAATCTTCCTATCGAAGGAGAGTTATAAACCCTTAAATAAACATGTACGATAAATCAATACGCTTCACCTTTCTATATTGTAAGTATGTGCAACATGAGAGTATTTATAGAGACTATCGTAAAACTAACCTTCGAAAATAACGTAAAGTAATCGTTTACCACCACAGATACGTAAAATGCATGCATAAATTAATATAGAAAAAGAAAAAGTGAAAGTTTTCTTCACTTACATTGCATAGAACTTCCCATTACTTTAATTAAAGGTTCTATAATATAGCAAGAAATTCTAGAGTTATTCCCATACTTTTTCTTATAATTATTATTATTATTATTATCTCGAATATCTTGGTACATTCAGACAATCGTAAAAATGTACTTAATAATTGTTATTGGTATACCGGATGACCGTGAAGTGCCAGGGCCAGAAGATAGAAAAAATAATGAAAGAAATGAGAGAAGTTTGTATTAATGGGGTCGTTGCACAAAAACACGTGTGTATTAAGAGGTCGAGGTTTCTATGGCGGTTTGTGGCGTTTGCGTGTTATCCCAGGTCACCGAAATTCATGCAGTCACCGGCGATTGAATCCTACAGGGGTTGGTGGACCATTCCGTACTTTTCCTGTAAAAGCCATCGATGGTTGATCTCGTACAGCGTTAATATACGACCACCGGATGCTCGTCATGGGTTCGTACAAATCGTCTAATTAATAATCTAACGTGTTTAACGAAAAAGAAAAAGAAATTTTGAAATACCTTATTTCAGAATTCGAGAATTTTTAAGCGTGGATATTGACATCAGTGGATTAGAAGTAAATCAGTGCGATGTATCATCGCAAACTAGCGCAAACGAAGCTTTAAGTAATCAAATAGCATCTTTTAAAGGCACACATAAATGTCATAACGACACTACACGGGTGATTGATCATTCAAATTGAATAATAATCACAGGTTTAATTGCAGTCGATGATACTACTTACAAAATATATCATTTTCAGTGCGAATATCAAAGTCCTGGTAACCGTATTAATCAAAATGGAGTGGGTGCTGGATGGGTTAAGGGTGCATACATATGCAAATGTCGAAAGGGTTATTATAGCACTAATCAGCATCAATCTGGTTTCGATGGAATTCTCGTCGAAGGTTGGTAATTAAAAAACTTCAATTATATCTTGAAGTATATATTTGACTAATTTTCAGCTGCTTGGAAAGAGATGCAAGAAAACATAAGCGACTCGTATGTGACAGAATTTCGATGTATGCGTTGTGCACCAGGATGCTCGAAGTGCAAAGGGCCCGAGCCTTGTTTAGCTACTTACAACTGGCCCTTCCGGTACGAATTGCGCAAATAAATGTAACATTAACGTTGACAATTTTTAATTTACATACAATAATTTTTCTTTAAATATACATTTCTAAAATATCTATTTTCAGTTGAAAGTTGTATTTCTTTTCGAAATCATGCAACGAAGGGTTAACTGATAAAAACGTTTGTTTCCAGAATCACCCTTTTGTCATTCTCCATTTTCTGTGTGTTCGGTACCATCGTTTTGGTGGCCTATATGTATCAACACCGTAAGCTTAAAGTGTTCAAGGTCGCTTCGCCGATATTTCTATCCATTACGCTTTTGGGTTGTGCTATTATGTATCTTGAAGTACGTGTAAAAAATTCTTGTATGTAACTGATATTACAATATGTACATTTTATTATACATTTAGATGGCTGCCATATTTCCCGTTTTGGATATGTATTCTTGTATCGCGACCAAGTGGACGAGACATCTTGGCTTTTGTATTTCTTACACGGCGTTGTTGATGAAAACATGGCGGTAATCATATTCATGTTATAATTTACTCAAAGATTCTAATATCTTAATAGTAGGTGTAAAAAGAATTTTTTCTCTCAGAGTTTCTCTCACGTATCGTGTCAAGAGCGCGCACAAAGTCAAGCTTACGGATAAACAATTGCTACAATGGATGGTTCCAATATTATTAGTAATGTTAATTTATCTTGGCACATGGACATTGAGCTCACCACCGTATGCCGAAGTGATAGCCGACAATTATGGTCTGAAATTCTACCAATGTTCGTTCAACTGGTGGGATCACAGTTTAGCAATCGGTAATAACAAAAAAAAGATTTCATTTTAAATCGAAGAAAATGTATGGTACATGAAATTTTCCTTTCAGGGGAAATTCTGTTTCTTGCATGGGGAATTAAAGTGTGTTACAATGTTCGCAACGCGGAAAGTCTCTTCAACGAGGCCCGTTTGATAAGCTACGCAATTTATAACATAGCCGCTGTGAATATAACTATGATCGCCATTCAGTATGATTTTCTTCATTCTTAATTACACTTTTCTTTTAGCATCGTTAAGTGGTCAATTCTCTCGATGCTCTTTCTTTACAGCCTTTTCATTTTCCCTCATGCCGGACCAGACATCAAGTATCTGTTGGGATTTTTACGCACACAACTTTCAACCTCTGTAACCGTGTTTCTTGTATTTGCACCTAAGGTAATTCGTGTTTCGTTGTTTCTCTCGAGCTTGGATAATTTCAGGAAATTTCAGGTGACTCGAGTATTACGAGGGCAAGGTGATCAATGGGATAGTCGTGCCAGAGGTCGGGGTGTCACCGCTAGTTTCTCGTTGAATGGAATCGGTTTGGTGTCCGAGGAGACGACAGACTTGCATCAAGAAAACGAGGAGCTTAAGGTAAACTAAGAACTATTTTCGAGTTAGTTACCCTAACGTAAGTCTAATCGATTATTTAGGAGGAGATTCAAAAACTGGCAGCCCAAATAGAATTTATGAAAATCGTCCACATGGAGATGTACAATCGCCATATTAAATCGAAAGCCGGTGGATACTTTAGCACCCATGGTCATGGGCATACTCATCCATCCTCGGCTCAAAGTCCAATAGCGAAAAGCTCGACGGCCAGTTTTATATTGAAAGTATGTACCTAAGTCGTCTCGTTTATTCGTAAGCCAATTGTCTACGTTGCAAACAAGATCAGACGGTGAAGATATTGAAAAATACAGTCAAGTAAACTATTGAGCAGACAGCCGTGGAACGAGGAGCTAGCGCGGCCGCGGCTGCCGCGGTCGAAGACTCAACTTTCCCTTCTGGAAGTTTGCATCGAGCGCGTCGAATGGAGATCCTGAAGGAACGGAAGGCGGAAAGGGAAAGGGAACGGGATAAAGGAAAGGAGAAAGAGAAAGAGAGAAGGGAGAGGGAACAGAAGAGAGAGAAAGAAGAAGAAAAGGAAAAACAAGAGGGTGCTGCACGCGAGGAAACCGTCGAAGAGAGCGGAGAGAAGGTCTGACTAGTGCTAAATAGCAATGAGGTAAGATCAATTTCTTTATTTAGATGGGCCTTCCTATTTGGCAAACCTGGGCCAATGAATATTTCATGAATTTTCTTGCTCGATGTTGTTTCATTGTCAGTAATAATGAACTTATTTCATTTTATCAGGAACATAGAAATGTTTATCAGAATTAATATTCTGGTATTCAGTTTAATGAACGCCATAATGACAATAATTTTATTGTTGTTTGAATATCGTCCACAGATATGGTTATGACAAACTCAGAATATAAAGAAGAATATGAAACGTAAGTGTGTTCGTGGAAAGAGAAGGTTCAAGAAAAGAGGTAAATTCACAGGGTATTCTCTAATGCAGGCCTGGGCAACTCGTACCCTTAAAATGAAAATTACTTAATTTCTCTCTTACTGCCTTATTTTAGCTAGGGGTGGGTATTAACGCAGAATTTTTTTTTTTTTTTTTTAATTATTTATGATTTCTATGAATGAACAAAAGTTGTCCTCTAAGGGGTTTTAATCGTTTATATTTACCCTAAGGGCATCGAATTGCCCAGGCCTGTTCTAATGGATACAAGACACCCAGTGTTCGAACGACTCAAAGGACTTCAATCATTAAATAGTAAATAGATTAAATCTGTACGTATATAATTGTCATTCGTTTATGGTGGCAGTAACTCCATTAGCTTTATCGTCAAATATTTATGTTCACACCAAACAAGAAATGTTTGATGATTAACGAGAATAAGAGACGTGATTAACAGGGATAATTAAAAATAATCTTCATTATTTTCAATGTTACTAATAATTTATCAATAATAGGTATCGGTATTCTATTTTTTCGTCATTGAAAACATCATCCTTAATTACCTTGATTAAATACCTAATGAATAATGAAGTAATGTGATTTCTCAAATGATAATTAGTATAATCAACTTCGTTAAATAGAAGAAAAAAAAAAAACAAATAAAGATTGTTACTTTGCAATTGTTCTTGGTTTGCGTCTGTAACAAGCACGATTTTCTGCTGAATTTTACTCGTGTAACACAAAATGAATTTGTGTCAATAAATAAGCAAAACCATATCATAGAGTATACCGAATCAAAACTGATAATATTACATTGTTAAACTTATAAAGTTACTCGATCGCTGAATACATTTCTAAACAACTATTTGGAAATTAAACATTCTATTTGTTTAATATTTAGTACAGGAACAAAATATAAACTCCAATTCAATTACACAACAATTTTTTCTCTTTTTATTTCAATCATTAACATTATAAATAGACTGTATGAATGATATTCGTATCAAAAAAATAAAAATTAGACGTAAACCAAGAGAAAGAGAGAGGCATAAGATAGCTGAAAGTAAATAAAAAAAAAAAAAAAGAAAATATTAAAAAAACTCGTTATATCGCACAAAATATCAATAAGTATCGAGAGCACGTACAGCATTTTATTACATGATTGGAGTATGAAAATTTACTTGGATATATCTCAAAGAAAAAAAAAAGCACACGCATTTTATACGACAATAAGATACGATTTAAGGTACTTTATTGTTACTAGCGCAAAAAGATCGAATATAATTTTTCTTTTTCGTTCGTTGACTATTTCGATCGTCAGTTGCAATTAGATAACGAAAAATTTCGTGAATGCCCTTATGGCAATTTTATATTTCGAAATGAACAACCTGGATCTCTTCTGGGTCCATCCCTATATTAAAAATTACTATAAAACGTGTGAAAGCTTGATAGGATATTGGTAAAAAAAAAAAAAAAAGTATTCGACAAGAATTGCTACAGGAATGGGACAATTCTTGAATAGGAATGTTGTACTGTGTTTTGAAACATAACAACGTTATAAATTCGTTTCAATATTCAATTGTTCCACATCTTTTGATGGGTTTTATGGTTCATCAGCAGACATTGCTGTTTGAGCGATTTGAAAGAAAAAAGAAAGGGAAATAATGAACTTTTATTGAAGATATAAAATTTGTACAATAATTTGTATATGTATATATATTTTTGGACAAAATTACTGTATATCGTTGTTCAAAATTTATGGGATATATGAAAGCTATATGTATACAGGGTGGATCACGCAATTGTTTCAGGTCATAACTTCGTTATTAATGGATTCACGAAAAAATTATCTTTATCTGGCATTTTTTCGTGAATGCACTAATAAAAATTGTTGTGACCTGAAACAATTGCATGGCCCACCCTGTACATATATATATGACTGATAATTATCATTATTTTACATTGTTACATCTTTTGTGTACAAATGATTACTGTTTAGCAAAAGATGTGAATTTCGATGAAGAAACGTAGCCTTAAGTCAATGTGAGGATCGTTCAGATTGAATTATATCTTGAGAAATAGAAATAAATGTTTCTTTTCTTTTTTTTTTGTATTTGTAGGTAGAACGGATATAGTATAAATAAATAGAAAGACGTTCGTTGAAAATAGCAAAAATCGTTACCGCTTTAAAGAAGGCTTAGAATAGGCTTTAAAGTGATAGTTGGTGGAATCGATGAAAAATTACGGTTGAAAAAATAAAACTAAATGGTCGCTTGAAATTTCAAATTTCATATACTCGTTATGCGGTATGTAATATTAAAATGTAAATCGTATACAAAAGCAACGTTTCCGAGAAGTTGGACAGATAAATGATTAATTTTTTATTTTTAATTTACCACTTGCAGGAAGTATCAATAACGAGATAAAGTTAGGTAAAAACTAATATAAAATCAGATCTGGCAGAAATCATTGACTAGGACGTTTTTCCAAAAATATCCATCTTTGATACAAGTGTTGTAAATTGTAATTAATTAGGAAATGAAGAAAATGAAAAAACGAAGAACAATCGTGCTTTTGATGTTGTTATTGTAATCTGAATGAGCGTTAGTTAAAAGAAAAAAAGACATTTTAAAAGTGAATCAAAGTTTAAGGAGAAATCACTGGCCGATCGTGAACTTTTTTTACTTCCGGTATCAGACGCATTCAGGCTAATATATGCAGCTTAACATTACGTAAATCGCAAATCATTAATGAAGAGAAAGTATATGATTAATTGCTAAGCGAAATGAAATACATATACATATATACGTATATACATCCCTGACTTTCCCACTGGATCCCTGAGAAAACAGTTTGTGTACAAGTGAAAAACATATTTGTAAAAATATAATGTATGTCGATAAATATAATGATAATTAAATGAGGAAGAATAGAGTGTTTTAACTCTCTATACACCCACGTAATTTTTACGTTCTTTCCTCTGAAGACACTGGAGTAATTAAAAATGGCCCTCTCACCATTCTAAGATTCTAAGGGTCCACAATTTCATGATTCTAAGATTCCGGAATTCTAAAATTCTGGAATTGAAAAATTCCAAGATTCTAAGGTGAACACTTGAAACTGCTAATAAAGCTAAAGAACCTGGTCCACTCCGGAAAAAAATCATATCACAGAAAGTTAATGAGAATTGAAAGAAAAAACACAGAGAAGTTGACTTTAAACTTTATTTACACGGCTACATAATATATGTAAGATATGAAGACTCGGTTGCGACATTTTTGGACGCTCTAAAAAGGATTGCACGAAATTCAATCGTAGCTAAACACATCGTCATATCGCTAAAATAATTGCACATTGTCGTGATAAAAGTTATACATTAGCTGAAAAATGTAACACTGATAGGTCGATTAACAATATATCAACGAAACAAAATGTAGTTTGTACAACAATAACAACTGATTTTATAAAAGGATACGATTCGGATGGCACCGAGATATATTACACAATGTATGCACACTAGAATGACTCTTAACAGTCTTGTTTTATAAAAGAAAAATTCCTTTATAAAACATACGCCGTTTCGTATAATTTTTGCGAAATTAAAAGGAATAATTCGATGCAGACTTCCCATTCGATTGTGTCTAGAATACGTTCAGAAAGTTGAATTATTTTCTTCCTATGATTGTATAAAAGTGATTAAAAAGATAACGCTGAATATCGTCAACTGGCGTATCGTTTAAGATCACAAACGAACGTATCGCAAGAGAAAGAAAAATTAGATTGGATTCCACCAATCCAATAAATTGCTCTAAGAACATTAATATATACACATAATTATAGCTATATATAAAATCTTCAAATCAAAAAACATGAATGTTAGTGCAAAGAAAGAAAAAGATGAAATTATGTTAAAGAAGCTACACTGAATGAAAGAACAAACAGAATCAACAACTTTCACATAGGTACGCCATACACGTACACCATATAGTTAATTTATCTTCTTTCCTATATACGACAGGCACACGCACACTTACGCACACGTATACTCTAATATTTGGACATTTGTACTTGACGTATTAATAATCGCGTGTATAACAAAATATTTGAAACTACATTTCTTCTTTGGCTCTGAAAATTGTTGAGCCTCACCTACGTAGGTTTAGTTTGCACTGTCCTACATTTAACTGGACAATCACCATCAAAATAATAATTAATTAAAAGTAATAACAATACATGAAAAATGGAAAATAAATTAGGTGATAGAAAAACTCTTTATGGAGATAAAAGACAATATACATATATATTTTAATGGATCTTGTAATTTTAGATTTTTTTTTTTTTTTCAAAGAATTATGCTTAGGAGAATTTATAATATACACAATGCAAACTATACCGCAGTCTTCAAGATTAAGTAATTTGGTCGAGTTTTCAACTTAAACTTTCTTCCCTAATCTTATCGTTCGATACCGTTTAAGCGACGGTAAATCATCGTAGAATTCGATTTATCAGTACCTACACAATCTTTCTCGATAAGGTTTCTTTTTATTATTCTTTACATTACCTGTATTCACCCTTTCGGTTAAATAACACCGGGTGGTTCAGGTACTCTTTCGAAAAACTTTCTGTCGAGCCTACAACAAAGATACCTTGAATACATCAATAAATAAATAAATAGGAAACAAATTATTTGGTATAAAATTTCGCATCTGCGACGAGATCGATTTAGAGATTTAAAGGCAGAAATCATTATTTTTCATAACTTTTACTATTGTTATAACTGCAGCCTATTAATTAGTTTCTCGATGACACGATTGCAAAGTACGTGAAAATTAAACAGATAAAAAATCAACGAACTTGCTAACTCCCATTAACAATAGCTTTCATAACAATTCGCATCATAACAATTCATTTCATGTATTCGTGTTGACTGTGTCAAATCATGTCAAATCATTCAATTATCATAAATATCCAATATGCAATCTTCAAACAATTTCCAAAAGCTTAAGAATACTAAGAATTAAAAAATATTGCACACAAATTAATTGATTAACAGTTGAAAGCTATGATAATCAATTTCTTAAAAGAATATTCAATTAGAATAATATTGAAAACAGTACCTGTCATCGAATGATTATCTAACTATGGGATCTTTATGCTCATAGAAAAATATCTGTTATGAAATTATGGAGAAGAAATAAATAAATAAGGTCAAGAATTTAGTTAGACAATATCTTGACCATTCTCCACTTGACAACCATAGTTATCTTTATCCTTGTTCGAGTCTTTCTCTTTGTTCTCGTTTTTATCTTCTGCAGTATCATCTTCTTCTGGATCTTTCATTGTCCTTTCATTTTTGACAGAAAGAAAATCTTCGTTCTTATCAGTCGAATTCGTTGAATGAGACTTGTTCAGGAGAGAACTGAATTCACCAAATTGTAAAATTTCTTCCATCGCTGATTGTTCTAAATTTACCTGTTACAAACATTTACAATATAAATATTTCTTCATTCGTTCAATGTTGCTCTTCAACAGGTAAAAATAATATACAAAACTTTTTCTTTGTACTAAAACATTGAAATATTTGAGTATTGTTGGTATTTTGATCAAGTTTCCAAATAAACCAGATCTTGCAATTAAATGTATAATGGAATATCGAAATAGAGAGAAAAAAGAAAGATATCCAACCTTTCGTGGTCTACCCCTTTTTCCTTTGGTAGGTACAGACGAAGATGAATGACAACTCGAGCTGGACAAACTGTTCTTTCTCTTCGGCCATTGTAAATGAGAGTCCAAATGTTGTTTCAATTTATCCTGTCTGGCAAACATACGCGGACAAATATTACATGCGAACGGTCTTTCACCCGTGTGAACTCTTCTGTGTCTAGCTAAATGAGAAGCTCTCGTAAATGCTAAAGTGCATAAGTCACAGGAGAAAGGTTTATATTGAGCTTTCTCAGATTTAGGCAGTATCGGTCTCGTTTCTTTCCCTTCGTTCAACCTTTTCGACGAAAGATCACTTTTCTTCTTGATCGTTAACCTGGAACTATCATCCGTACCCTTCGAAGACTCCTGAAAACGTAACAATCAAATCACATGAATAAAGATTTATGATGATTCTTAAATGGCTGAACTTACAAGAACGGTCGGAAATAGTTAATTTAATATGAACAAATGAAAGAAGTTTCTTATGAAAAATAACTTTTATTTGCCTTATGAAATAGTAACACGTTCTTTTAATATTATATAGTTTTCTGTCAATGTAATGTCACGTTTCTTTACGTGACAAATCGATACGTGTTCTTCTAATGAGACAAATAAAAATATGTTACGTTTCATAATCGTAATGATACGTAATTTCGAATAACGTCCATTGATGATTCTGAACCAATTTTAATTATGTTTATCTCTTCGTACCAGACTCTCATCTCGTTCTTGTAAGTCGTCGTTCATCTGAATGTCCGGTACCGTAGGATCTGAGGAGCCATTATTGAAATTCAGTTCGGATTTAACCACGTTCGACGAATCATCGTAATTCTCGTCCCTCGTCGCGTTCTCTTTTAACAGGATACGATCTCTTGGTTTGATCTCCAGTGGATCATTGTTTCTCGTTGAACGTCCGACAGAAACCCTTTTCTGACCTTTGAATCTTGTCTCCCGTTTGTACATCGGCGGTGGCATACGCCTCTGCAGGAAAAATTGGAAACATTAAGAAAATTTGATTCTCAGATAAAATTTTTAAGCGAACCGGTCTTGGTTTAGACTTACGATTTGAGTTTCCGAAGATCGTAAGGGCTCGTCGAAAGCATCGTCGTGCCCGTCGATCACCATCGGATCGTCTTCAACTTCGATCTCCTCCATTTTAATGTGATCCTCCAACGATTCCACGGAAGACTGTTTCGGTAAAAATGGAATCACGGATGGTTCCTTAATGTACTCGGTCGTGTGGACTCTCGTTTCTATATGGCATCTTTGCATTCGTGTTTCAACCCTCGTGTAAGGGCTACGATTGTTCTCCTGGTTCCTTTGGTCGCCGGAAAGACCTCGGATCTCCAGATCCGTCGCGGTTTTAATCAATGATGGCAAGTGTTCTTCAGCGATATCAATAGACCCTCGATACATGAAATCTAGTAGACATTCCATTTCTTCTACTGCAACCCCTGAAATTTGTAATCAAAATTTTTGTTCGCAAATATATTTCAAAAAAATTCACAATTGACTTTCAAACAAAGAGGTATCAAATGACCTTTTAAAATCAGAATTGGCTGTTCACCATAGTGTTCCTTAAATACCCTTTCAAAATAAGGGCTACACGCTGCCAAAACTAATCTATGCGCCCTTAACATTCCACCTTGACAAGCTAACGTTGTGTCAGTCAAAGAACCACTTTTGTAGAGTCCTTCAAACAATCCAGACAGGTTCGCCAGATGATTGTTCCAAGTAAGATTGAACGTCTTCTCGCCCATTGTTAGGATACTTCTGTAGTTTCTTAAAACAGAAACAGATAGTGTTAACAATGAACTATGCATTTCTTAGCGTGTCTACGATTCCTTACATCATAAACGCTAATTGTAAGTGACGCCGACAGGTCATCATTTTAAATGACACGTTGCCTGTGTCATTTTTATTTTCTACATTTTTCTGAAACCTTTAATGAAAACACCCTTGACTCACGATTGACCTAGCTTCACCGTTGGAGCTTTCAAATAATTATATCCCATCTATAGAAGTTACCCTCCAGGAATCTTGTCATTTAATTAATATTAAGCTGATAATTTGTAACAATTACCAAGATACAATATTTGGCATTGTTATTATGTATGGCGAAGAAGGAGGGCGCGGGGGGGTATGGGGGACCAGTAAAACGAGACAGAGTTAACGAAATAGGTGTGTACGGGGGTGTGCATATACGAGAATGTGGTAGAAACAGGATGAAGAAAGGCAGAACGATCCAACGATGGTCATGCGCAGACGTAGTATCTAGGTCCGATCCATAATTTCGTTGGACCCCCTCGCGCATTACCAAGGGGCTACATTCGTGTGCACCCTTTTTTTTCGTTTCATGCCAACTACGTCACAGGGACCACGAAAATCGACGACTATTAGAGAGCACGGGGAGGCATATTATTTATAAAATGACCATTATATTTAGCCGAGGAGGTAGGGTTGGGTTTAGAGGGGGACGCTGAGAGCGGTTGCCCCTTGCAAGATTTATCAAATTCTCCAGAAATTTATTTATATTATAAAATATTATTTACATAGAATAAATTATTAAGAAAGATCTCTGGATCCACTCCTACGAGATTAGCTTTTTGATTATTCCGCTAGATTGTTTTTCTTGATGCAATCCCAAGAAGTGTGCTACAATAATCGAAAATATTATTCGGACAATGCGTGACATCAAGCTTATGACATCAACGTAACTTGTTCAACGTGATTTATGTAAATGAGGTATAGGTAGACAAAACGAAGCGAATAAGCAGTAGCAAGATCAACGTTGATATTAAATTATACAGTAACGTGTATGGTAATATATAGCGATTACGTGGGGAACAGATGCGTATAATGAGAGAAAAAGATAGGTCGATAACAAAGTTCAACCTGTTCTTTCATCTTCGGTCTCTCTCGTTTCTATCGTGTGTATTTGTTCAGAGCTGAACGTGTGACTTGCTTTTTTTTTTTTTACATACATGCACTATCAAAAAAATGGGATTATTTGGTAAATATTAACAACAAAGGTGGGAGATGAATTTTCATTTATTTTATATAAACTTTTAACGATTGTGTTCGTTGACAACGTCGTGATAAAGAAACAATTCATATCGAATGCGCGTAATCATTGCAGACAGTCTAAAGATAAAGTTATCAAGATTTTGTTAGACACATAAAAAGCAACGGGATTTTACTTAAACAATTTATAATTTCATCGAAATCATATTTGTCTTTTGATAATAAATAATTCCATTTTCTTTCGAATTATGAAATGTTAATCGACAGTGCAACAAAATATTCCTTTACACTTGGAAATATTAAATCGCATCAATTATACTGCATTTTACATCATTTTACTGCATTTTACTGTAAGATTTATTTACATAGGAATAGCCGTGGATATCTTTCGATATACCATCTGTACCCTCGTACAAGTACAATAAACGTACCAAAACTATCCACTCGACAAGCTACCAAAATAACAGCACAAACACAGACAAAAATTATTCGCTGGGATTAAATTTCTTCGACAGCTACGTCCCTTTAACCTTTCACGCGAGAAATGTGAATCCTGATATGTAAAATAAAATGTATATAAATATTCATAAAATATCATGGTGGATGTTACACTCGGATGCAACGAGGGAGAGCCAGAGCATCCGGAGAACCCGGGATAGTCCGGAAGATCTATGGAGATCTATAGATATCCAGAACTCTTCCTCTTGCATCGTACAGAAAAAAAAAAAAAAATAGAAAATAAGGTGAATGATAAGACACATTGCTTCCTCTACGTTTCCTTTTAACTAAAGGAAGCCTGCGTTGCATAGAATTGTACAGTACCGAGCATAGCAGCTATTGTGCGATAACTTTGAAGAGTCTCATAAAACGCTATTGGAAGTCATCAATGAAAAGACAAAATTCTGCCCCTATACGTGATGCTAAAAATACTTTCGCATGCATCTTTAAAACTAAAGGTGAGCGACGCTCATATGTATATATAAAATTCCTCAGGAGATTGACCTTTACAACATATGTCAAGATCATTGAAATTGGTAAGGTATACCCTATTTTGCATACAATTAAAGAGTATTTTTTTTTTTTTAAATGACGTATCGAGGTCGCTTATTTGCGTGACTAAGATATCCAAGAATGCGCAAGATCTCTGGTGGCTGGTTAGAACGGTCTAAAACACAGAAGAGATCAAGAGAGCAAAGAGTCGTTTTAAACCGCGTGCCCCGTACCAACGTCGACTCTATTAATACCCGCGCCTTGTCATCGCGTCTCGAGAACTTGCACACCGATGTTAGGGCGTCGCGTCGTTGCGAACAGATTCTACTTTTGTTTAAACTTGTTTTAATTTAAACAAAGAAGAACCATTAACAAATATTGTTTAATCGACGGTATCTCTGAACGAAAAAGAAAGAATCCACGAATGGACAACACAGACGGCTCGAAGAATGCCTTTAAAAACTGTCAAAACAATTTCATCCAAATGAAAAATCAAATATTACTAATGTTTATATTATATAGAAAATAACGAGGAGATATGAAGCGAGATGTCTTGATAAGAGTGAGAACGAAGAGTGACAATCACTACTATCGACGTGAACAACACGAGGCAAGGAACGATGGATAGAAGGAGCTGCTGTTCCGAACAGGACATACCGTAGATGTCGTACAAGTGCAGTCAATTACGTGATCAACTACGAGTATTCGCATCGTGGACCTATTAAGAACAAGTTAATAAAATCATCGCGTCGTTCTGATGTGCGAACGAGTGGGTTACCCGTGAATGGAACGGGGAACAGAAAAAAAAAAATTCCAAACTGTTGAGGGTCCTAATGGAGCAGCCCATAGATGTCGTGCGAGGTGTTCGGCTCGACCGGGGTCAGCGCAGATACTCGATCGACACTTACGCAAAGTTGTTTAATCCACGAAAAGTTGATCCATGAAATTGAATTCGAATAATTGATCAAGTTCATTGTCATCCTATTCCCAGCAGAGCTTCTTATTTCGTAATTGAAACATTCGAGATCATACGTAAAGCATTAAACTCGTACCACTCTAAGCCATGTTCATCGAAATTACTTACCTTCTCGTTTGGCCAACGATATAAATCAATGTAAATTAAAAACAGCACAGTGTCAAGTATTTCTGTTTCTCTTGTTCCTGTTACACGACAATCGTACACCCTTTAACGTTCCCCGAAACAGACGTATCTTAATGAAAACATAGACCGATAGAAAAATCGTATACGAACGTGAATCTAGAACAAGTGGACAATAGAGCAAGCAAACGGGCTCGCTCTGCGAGGGGTACGACACGTGCTGGGGCTCCCTCGACCGAGTCGCGACTGATATCATTTCCAGTGGGGGACTGTGGGGTCGGGAGCCAGAACCCCACCAGGGGGTCTTCGTGCAACCCCCACGCGGTGTCGTAGTAGTCGTGTTAGCCGTCCTGGTTGTGGCTCGTTGTCGTCGTGGCTCCACCGTTGCTGGCCTCTCGAAACCCCCTTTGCACATACAAGGGATAAGGGACCAGAACGTGTACGTGTATTATGGGGAAGAGTCTCTCTCTCTTCATCTTACCATAGGCATCATTCGTTTTGTGTCTATACGTGTTTCACTCTTGCTCTCTCGCTTCATCTCTGTCCCGGTTCTACGCATACTTTTATATATTATTATCTCTCTCGGTACTTCTGACAAAAGTTTCTCTCTCTCTCTCTCTCTCTCCATCAACATTTCTCTATCCTTCTTCCGCTTGATATGCTGTGCCAAAGTATTTGTTCCTCTTCTCCGTTGTTCTCCTTCTAACTTTGGTAGGTTCCGTGTGTGTACATGGCACACCTACGAATACGCTTGTAGATTCTCTCCCCCGACCCTCTTGGTTGGCCCACTCCCTTGACACGAACCCCTTACCCCCCACGTATCCCAGCAGCTTTATCCACCCTGAGCCCTCCCGTGTACGAGGGGTTGTTTCTCGGCAGCCTGATCGGACGTTTGCGAGAAAAGGGACCTTCCCCTCTGTCACTCCGCGCCCCTTTAACCCATGCTTTTTTTTTTCTTATTCCTCAGTCGAAACTGTTTTATTACAGAGATCATTTTCACCGTTTACGCGATACTTGTTCATCGTTTTACAATTTACTTTCATAAGTTCCGGGATACCATTTACCAAAGTTTCAAGTAGAGTTAACATTAATTAATTCCTTCCTTTAAATGAAGATTTGAATTATAATTAAGTAAGAACGTCAAGTGAGAAACATTATCACTGACCTCTTCGTTATACTTGAAATGTTACTTCGCGACAAACACCTTCTTTTCAAGTGTAATCGCGAAGGCGATAACGTTATAAAAAGAAATTCGTCCTTGGAAAGAAGGAAAGCCTACCTAATTTCAGATGGAAAACAAGAGATATTCCTGTTTATGCGAGTATCGCTTTCAGCAAGGCCCAAGGGGGCAATATTATAGGTGTATTGTTCGAATCGACAAGTGAACTCGCATAAAAGATGTTGAAACATGAAACTGTTCGTTGAAGAGTGTCGCAATACGATAAGCACAGACTGTAACGGACACTGACGTAACCATCGCATGGCTATGTGTGTGCATATGTGCACACGCGTGTGCGTATGTTTTATATATATGCATATATATACAGTATATAACACGCAAACCATAATAGATCAGTACTTCAAGTCGTATTACGATGAACTGAACTTTTCAAAAGTTTTTCCTCATCAAATTGAAACGCTAAATTCCAACTATTGTATATAGACTAAATCATAGATAATATATTAATTTGATTCAATGAAGGATATATTTATTTTTGATACAGTAAATAATGTTTCTGTTGTAACAAATTGATTGTTCGCAGTCGAGGTGACCGGACGACCAATTCAGAAGCAATGAGCGAATATCGATTCGTTATTTTTAGGGGTAGTCCATCCGCGAACCCCACCTTCATCACTCAATAATTTGAAAATTTCTCTATAATCAATTATTTTTTCATATATAATTCTCACACGTCTTATTTCGCGAGAAATCATACAAAATATGATTAAAGAGAAATGATACTTTTAAGGGTCTTTTTCTTTTATTATTATACAATTTTAGTACAAGTATCAAATAGTATAAAATATTTCTTGACAGATATTCAATCGTTATCATGATTTTATACGAAGAGCGGATTTTAGTAATGGATTTTAAAATAAAATTATTACTATATTACTATCTATCTATATCACAAATTGATAACAGTGAGAAAACTGTTATTATTGTAGTACAGTGATAATAGTTCATTTTAATCATATTGTCGTTAATATTTTAAAAAATATTATGCTATAAATTATATCGTCACAATATTCACATTCATTCATAAAAAGTAATGATTATTAAATTAATTAAAATCCTATTAATATAATTATTAAAATTATTCGTCAAGACCATGTATATAAATTGTTTGAAAATTTAATACTTTCTACGGGCTGAATGTGCATTGGATCGGGACTACAAAAGTGTTTTAATAATTCATCACTAAATCCACAATCAGTCAAATTTTCTTTTCCGAAAACATTTTGCGGCATTTTTGATCCGCTTTCCGATTCCGCTTCTTCTGTGAAAATATAAAAATTTAATATTTATTATTACCATGTAAATAACGATAACTGTACAAAAAATGAAATGATTTACCAAGTCCATGTTTAGCTGCTGAAAATGCAGTTGTTGCATTTAATTGTGCACAACTTGCAGTGTATTGTTCTAACTGGCTAGATTTCATTAAAGAACAAAGGGAGGGTAATACATGTGGCAAAAGAGGCCCCTTGAGTTCCAAAGAAAAATATCTTTCATTCTCGACGCGAACTTTACTTTCTTTAACCTTTAAGGAATAAGAATCTGCTGATTTTTATTTTATCAAACACTCTAAACTTATATCAAAAAAATATTTTACCTTAATGGATTTTAGTGTGGCCCCATGAAAAGCTACCGGTGCTAAAAGAGTTGGAGGCACTCCTGCCAAAGAGCCAGTTATTGTAATAGCAGATTTACAATTAATCAGAAAATTGAATAAAGCCTGTGCTTCTACCCCTTTCACAAAAATGAGAGAGTGGTTCAGGTTGTCTACTTCACTTTCTTTCTCCAATGCCATTCTTACCTACAATAAAATCGAATAAATTGGAATAATATGATAGAATAAAATTACCCGAGAATTAGCGAATTACCTTGGAGCTATTAATTTTACGAATTTCAGAATTTTCTACCCCTAAACTCTGTAACCATTCATCTTGTGGTTCATCTTCATCATCATCATCATTAAAATTTTGTTGTTCTGTATTGTTCACTACTGTTGTAGCACTTGATTGACTCAAGTCTGATGTTACACAACCTGAATCAGCTCCATCCGAGTATCTTTTCAATTCTTTCCTCAGAGGCATTGTATATTTAATTTCTATAGAAAAAAATCTGTTTAAATTTGTGACTGTTCTCGTCGTATACTTCAATTTGTTATACCTTCTTGTTTTAAAAATTGTCTAAAGCCACGCGTTGTAGGCGTTAAAAACGCGTGTGCTTCAGAAATTCCACAAATTCCAGCAGCACGAAATAATGCAGTGAAATTATTTGCACAGACATAGAAATATGGACATTGTCGTGCTCTTAATAAATGGAAAAGTGATCTAAAACTTTCACTCCATTCTTTATAGAGAGCTTCCTTGATAGGTAGATTGTTTACTATTGTCAAATTGCTTGTTAAATTAGCACTCACTTTGCCAGCAGAGCGAGGAAATAATTCTAGCCATGGTAGAGAAGGATGTTGCCATACCAAGCAACACCTATGCAACCTGTTTGAATTTATATACAATCAATAATAAGATGGTAATAAACAGTGGTTCTACTTAACTAAAATTTTTGTATAATTATAACAATCACCTTGCATTTGGACTGGTATCTAAAGTTGAATCCTTTTCACCAATGTCTAAACATCTTACAAAACCAGTTGTACCTGAAGCTTCTTCGCTAGTTTTTAATTTGCAATTCCATGGAAATGGTTTTGGAGACATGAATCTCATTTTAGTCTTTAAAGTCCAATCTATTGGAATATATTTTTCACCTTTTTGTGATTCTGTATCTACAATGTTCTTGTAAGTTTGTAATTTTGAAAGTGCATTGCTAAATGTTAAAGAATAATCAAGCATGGAATGTTCTACTTTGTTCAATTTTGGTGGTTCAATATGCAATAATTCAAATAATGTATTATCATTACTAGTTTCTAAGTCTGGAGGTGTAATATTTATCTTCTTATTTGGCTCATCCTTAGCAAAAGGATTTTTACGTTTTTGAACTGTATATTGATTCAAGTTATCATTAGATCTATTAGATTTCTCTGTGGAGTCATTTTGACTAACTCTTATGTTATTTATGCGTGCTTGAAGTGCACGTTTTTTCACTTTCAAGCGATGCAACTGCATTACTTGATCAGGTCTCTTCCATTCTGATGTTTGTAATTTTTCTGGACCCTCCATTGATAAATTTAAAGTTTCACCATGCTATCATATAAAAAGTATATAGAACATTCAATACCATACAATTTACAAACATAACACTAATGTTTGCCATACATAATATAACTGTTTCAACTTTTTATAGCTATAAATTTAAAAAAAAAACTTATTTTTGAAGCACAGCATACAACTGTACTATACGTTAGGGTTCTATATATTTTACATTTCCATACAGGTAGATAGCTGGTACGGAATAGTGATATAACAAAATATACACACTCGATTAATTAAAATTTTAATATCAGTTTATTAGTATTCTTCGTAAACAAAACATGCACAGCTGATTCTAAACTATGTATGCGATCGACAGGATGAGCTCCCAATTCGAAGCACTCTCTCCCTTCCTGTCTTTCTCATCCGGCATGACACTCACACACATTCAATTCAAACTCGTGACTTGTGTGACAAATATGTATGAAAACTCACACATGCATACACGAATGTGGGGGGTATTAATAGTGAATAAAAATAACATTAATATTTTCTTCTGATCGTAGAATTTATTACCTTAAAAGGCAACACTTTTCACATTTTAAATCAAAATCGGGTATACAATACTGGGTTCTTTTATAGAGGTTTCTTTTATTTCATCAATTTCATTGATGAATTTCGGATGTGCCAGTGCAAAAAATAGTACTGCTGTCACCATCTAACGACAAACGGAACAATGAAGGAAAAGAAAATTGCCCTTCTTTTTTTTTATAAAAGATGCGTTAATTTTCAATTCTTGCCACCAAGAGTGCTGTGATATAATACCAGCCCAATTGGTATAGCAGGATGTAACACAAATGATAAAAGTACTCCCCAGTATGAGACAAAAAAACAAATATTGAGAAGGGAATATTAGTTATAGAGATGAATAACAAATACTGAATTACTTTTTGTAATTAAAGATTTATTTAAACGTATACATTATTTACAGCATGTAGCATAATGTAAAGTACACAATAATGTACTACTTATACTACGAGAGATTAGTTTACTTAGTACTATGCACAATACCTAAACGTAAATTGTATATGAATTCCATGGCTTGAACGAGTGTGGCACATGACATTACTTTTACTGTAATTAACAATTACGAGTCTTATAGTTTCTATATATTACTGTGACTTGCCCTTTTAAAACCCTGTCTTTAATTTTTCACCCTCATTTATTCTTTTCAATTCTCCTTGTAAATAATATTTTATTTATGATCCAATACTACATTCCTGCTACAATTAATACAGAATACTAGATATTATTAATATCTATAAGTATTAAACATATTGTACTTATGTAATATTAATTACATGTACAGATAAAATTAATTATTGATTTATTTCAATTTTCAAGCAAAACTGATAGAAGAAAATAATCACCCTCAAAATATTATCAAATATTGTTTTAACCCTAAAGGTAAAAAAATATACAAAGCACTCCAAAAAATGTGCTCTCATGATACTTTAATTATTTTTTCCATCAGCTACACTTAAATGTATTTGTTGGTCATTATACTTACTACTTGTGTTTAAATATTTCTTACTTCCATACCATTATAAAAAGCCTATAAACTCCATCGATTTTTTGCATAAAATACGTTCTATTTCTTTATAAATTTTTGTATCTCTCTTAAAATATTGTCAAGACTGAATTACATAGGCTGTCAAATAATTAGTTGCATTTATAATAAATTTTAAACACTTTCTGGTACGATCTTGTCGTAGTGGAATGTACTACTGGAATAAAAGCTTCCTCTTTTCGGTACGTGCGGTGTAGTGATTTCTTCTTGCAGAGGTTTGTAAACTAAACCGCAATTTTTGTTATCTATCAAACCTTGTCGAAGGATCATCGGTGGTCTAATAACGGGGCCATGACCTCGTCGTTTCGCCAAATAAATTGCAACATGCACTGTTAACAGCACCATTAACAACGTTGTAATGATTATGGTGGCTATAGCCCAAACATCGGTAGTAGAATACCAAGGACGATATTCTGTATCTTCTGCGGGAACGAAATCTTCATATTCTTGATCTTGAGTGGTCCATGCTTTTTCAACTTCTTCGTTCGATTTTAATCCATGATCAACGTGCATTTTAACTAAATCCTGTTACAAAATTTGATGACCATTTTCACATCATACCTTCATAAATAAGAAAATATTAAAAGTTTGTTTGTACTTACATCATCATTTTCAAAATTGTTCCTTAATAATGTATCAGAGTATTCTGCCGTATCAAGTCCTTCAACGATGATCTTCACTTTCTTTTCCTTACGTGGCACTGGTCTTTCTGGTGGACCGTCATTAATACCATCGCAGACTATCTTCGCTAAATCGGTCCATTGACTGATACCTTCAGAATCTTGGTAATTATCATCGTTACCATAATTACTAATATATCTGTAAATTACAAGAGAATTAAAAAAATACAACTACCTATATGTTCGATAAGCAAAACTCAATTCATACCTTGACGTTTCGACTGGTGTTACACCATGATCGGTAAGCCATTGTACAGCCTCATTAAATTCGACGTCACAATCAAGAGGATTATGCGCTAAATCTAAGCTAACGATCTTCGGTGTTGCTTTTAATTCTTCCACGGTAATTCGACGTAGAAGGTTTTCGCGAACTGACAGGGACCTAAAAATACAACATAACATTATTTCCCATATTCTTTTGAAATGACATATTGTTTGTATAGCTTTGTTTCATTTTATGTACCGTAAACTAGTCAGTGGAACTCTAGCTTCGCTCCAAACTCTCTCCAAAGCGCATCTGCTCACGTCGAGTTTAGTAAGACCTGGAGCTACCAGGAATGGTGTCACTTGTAACGTAACCAAAGGATTACCCGCAAGGCTGATTTTAGTCAAACTAATAGCACCGCGGAACATATTGTTATCCAAAGATTTGATAATATTATCGGATAGATCAAGAATTCTCAAAGATAAAAGACGACTTAAAAGACCGTTTGGCAAGCCAGTTAAACGATTTCTGGACAGATTCAAACGTGTTATTGCCGGCATAGCATTAAAGGTTGTTTCTTCAAGGAAGTACAAGCCGCAATTTGCACAGTCAAATCGGGATACGCTGCAACAGACATTCAATTATATATTTTATGTATTTTTTAAAATTATTAATTCAATGTTAAAAACTAAATTTAAATACTTAAATACCTGTAAGAATTGTACTCAAAACCAACAGTCTTGAAGACTGGTAAGGTCTTTAATTCAGGGTTGTCGCTCATCAATAATTCTTGTAACCTTGAATTAGTTCTCAGATGATGTTCCGACCAGGAAGTTAACTTGTTATTACTAACATCGAGATGAGTAAGTTGATCGAGATTATCGAAAGCGTGTTGATGAATTCTTTTAAGACCGTTCGAATTAATTATCAATTGGTCCAATAAAGGAACATCCATAAGGTCATCTTTTCCTATTATTTTGATTTTGTTATTAGATGCATCTAATACTCTCAATTTTTTCATTTTTATGGTGCTCAGAGTTTGCAAATTATTTCCTGAAAACGAAACATATCTCTATTGAAAATATCCATGAAATATAAATGTATCAGGTAAATCGTGTAATTAACATTATTTTACCAGCAACTTTAAATGTTTGAATTCCGCTATTGTATAATAGATCAACAGGAATTTCATTTAGCAAATTATTTGAAAAATCTACTTCCATGAGTGATTCCAATGTATTGAAAGCTGAGCTATCAATTTCTTTCAATTTGTTTCCTTTCAAAATTATGTAAGTAAGGCTTGGCATCCTTGAAAATGCTGTGCGTTTCAGTTTGGTTAGACCATTATACGAGAAATCTAACTCGGTAATCGACGGAGCATCGAACAGTCCATGTTTCGATAATTTAGCATCTTGCGTATGTTTCAATGGATTTCCAGAGATGGCAAGCAGAGATAGCTGTTTGTTACTGTGGAAAGTATTCGGATGAATCTCTTGGAGGTCGTTGCGTGTTAAATTTACGCAGAATAAATATGGTATATCGTCGAAAGCCGTTTGATTCAATTCGACTATTCTTGTGTCGGTGATTGTAATGGATTCCAATTGTTGAAGACCTCGCGATGCAAATGCGTGAGGGCCGAGATAAATTTGCCCGGCATTTTCTATACGCAAATGTACGATACCAGTGCCAAAGGATTGCTCATCCACAAGTTTGGTGCATCTGAACAAAAAAAAAAAGATTATAACACAAATTTGATGTGCGCAACCTAATAATTACAGTTATATAGTATAATAATAACGAGTTGCGGATATCAACGTTGCGTTTATCTTTCGTTACAATAAAGGAAACAAATTATATAATGTTATCAGGAAAAGCCATGCACGTACGTTGCAGTCGTTGCAGCTGCATATTCTCCAGCACATCTGCAGTAATCAGGACACTGCGTCATTACTTGTTCGTCGTCCTCAGGCTCATCGTCGTTCTCTTCGTCGTCTTCGTCCTCGTCGTCATATTCATCGTCACCCTCGTCTTCTTCGTTTTCACCCAAATCGCCCTCGTAAGGTGTATCTTCAACTTCGATCAATTTGTTCGTAGTACTGTCCTTCGTCGTAGTAATAAAATCGGTTTTTGTGGCTGGCAACTTTGTTGTCGTCACCGGTTCCGACGGCCTGATCCTTTTAGCTTCCGCTTTAAGCGTTTGTGCAACTTCATCTTGCATCTACAATTAAATTTTTAAGAAATAACGGTTCTCTTCATTTGTTTGTATCAAATGAACTCGAATTTGAAACTTCAATGTTGCAATTGGGTTTAACACTTTTTTTAAGCGACAAATTTCATCACAATTGTAGACATTTTACATATCACATTACAATGTACAAATATTGGTGATTGCGCTAATAATGAAGCAAACGGGCATACGGCTACACAAAAGGACAGTGGTAGAAATTGGCCACTTTTTAGACCTCCACTGTCAATAAAAACTTATTACAGAATATGTTTTTAGAGACTTTCATGAATTGAAAATGTAAAAAATGAAAATTTTAGAATTTCGTCGTCGCAAAACGACCTTCCTTATCCATAGAAACGTATATTACAAAAAGTTTTTGTTAATAGAAGAGATACTTCGGTCGATTTCTTCCATTATCCTTTAAACAACAACCATCACCTTAGCATTAGAAGTTTCTTCGTCCAAGGTATTAATTTCTTGCAACAGCATATTCTTAGGACTTAAAAGGGATTTCATAAGCAGAATATCGTCATCCGATTTCGATTTTGATGTTACCCTTTCATCGACAGAAGTTTTATTCGATTGTACACTTGCTGGTGCAATTCCAGTAGTATACGGCTCCTTCGTCGCCGAAGAATTTGATGAGATCTTCGACGATTCTGTGCTTACGTCCACATTATTATCTTTTTGAACCGTAAACGCCTGTGTAGCAGACGTTGCAGTAGAAGTAGTCAAGGACAGCGCTTCGCACAAGAAGGTTATTAGTAGCAGCGCTACTAGAACCTTCATTGTTCCTGTAAAAACAAAAATCATTTTCAGCTAAAGACATAGTAGCATTAAAAGTTTTATAGTTATTCTGTATGCATAGCTAAGTGACCGCGATCACGACCGGTTTAAGAAGCGAAAGTGCAGCCATCTATACTACAAAGACAACTGCCATCGTGTAACTGATCCCAGAGAAGCCCCTGTCTTCTCGATCCTTCCGGACCTCGTGTCTAGATCTTTGATTTTCAATCGCCTACTGTTTCGTACACAAATTTAATCCTGTACGCTTGTATTAAACAAAAGCTGTTACGATCGTAAGATAATGTTTGTTGCTCATGTATAAAAATAGCCGAGAATTTTCGAACGTTCATATGGAAGTCGTGTTTGTGACATTGAAATCGCTCCTTCTCGAAGATACGCGAGGGCGTATGTAGTCACAGCAAGATCCAAAATTGGTCATGGTTCAAAGGAACGTGATTTTGTATATGGGAGTGTACTATTCGACATATTGTTTGCTAAATAAATAACATTTACTACCTTGATACATAAAAATGTACAGTGGTAAGTTTTTGTAAAGATGGAAGTGAATACCTTTGGTCCCACATTAAGGGTACCGTCAAATTATCAACGCGTTATTAAAATTTTCTTTTGCAATGTAATATAATTTCTACAAAATTAATTACATTATCATGACGACACTTAATAAATTCATCTCCGATAAAAATGAATGAAATCATACAAATGATACTTCAACAATGTAGATTAAAGATGCATTATACGATTACTTGATACGTGACTACGTACATAAATGGATTATCACGTTTCGTTGTTCATGATTAATTAATATCGAAGATCATTTTATTTCTGACAATTAAAAATCATTCAAGATTATAATTGAGGAACTGATAAATTTCTGGAACAATATTCAATGGAATGCAAATAAATGAAATTAAAATAGTTCAACTGAATATAATACAGAATATAGTATAGTTAACGGTATAAAGTACAGCATTAGATTACATTCATCTGCTCAAATGACAGAGTGATCTTATTTCTTACTACGCAAACAAATGTTTCTCTTTGTCAGAAGTTAAATTGTAGATTTCTATAAAAATTTTGAGACTCCTTGGTCTCAATTCGTTGAAAACCCGGGAATATCACCGATAGATGTATAAATCTTTCCTCATCTTGAAATGTAAAATCCAAAGAAAATCGGCACCGAGAAAAATCCATTTTCCTTGTATCGACAGACGCGCTAGGTGTGCTTGTTTGAACAGCAAATAGCTGGAGCCATCGCGGATAGAATGCAGTTTAAGAGAACCGGACACTGAAGCGACCAGGTATGCGTGTGAATACCGCTTGAAGAGGAGGAAGGTGGGTTTAAGTCGTAGGGTGCACGAGTGCCAGTTGGGCCTCTTTGTTCGACTCTCGAAAAATCTGGTCGGTTAAAGCCAGGTAGAATTACCTGTCCCCGACCATAACGCAGGTGGTCCCTTCTGCTTTTCCATTCCAATTTCGTTGGCATAGACCCGTAAAGAAAAGGGGCCACACCGGCCGGTCAGTTTCAGGAAGAATCTGTAAATCTTAGGCATTGGCATTTTCGAACTGGCGTTTTCGGCCCACCTACGTGGCCGACGATAAATCCAAAATGGATTGACGTCAAGATAGATGTATCAAGAAATGCTTCTTTCCTTTTTGTTTTTTTAAAGAAGAAGATCAGTGTAACTATTTATCGAGAGAACAATGATTATTTTCTTTATCGGGAGAATAAAGATACCTTTGACAAATAAAATTGTCATTATTATCAATCGTTTGGTTAACGCGCGGTTGGTAAGAATCTTGCGAGATTTCGAACGGAAGGCAAAGATCATTGTGATGAATTATTTCTTGCCAAGCAAGACAACATTCCATCCCGTAGAAAACATTCATTCCGTCAGCGTGCGTTGGATGGTTAAATAAAGCGCCGTCTTCGACAAGGACTGTCGAGGCATTTTCCAACTTGGAATCATGTATCGAATCGATTGAATCCTAAGCAAGACCGTTAGGTGATTTATTGTGAAATCAACCGGCTCGAATGACACTATGTACCAAGAAATATTACTGGTTCAACGTTAACATAACACTATCATAACGCGATGGCCGCAATCTGGTATATCGATAACAGAGTAAAAGCAACGATTTCGTAAGGGTGTGTTTATTGTTTCAAATTACCTACAACTTAACAGAATATCACTCTTCTTACTGATTAATTAACTTATCCGATATACTTAAAAAAAAACCTTAAATATATTTATTATACTTCGAATGCGGGCTGTTTTTCTTTAATTCTGACTTACGTGGCTAATTCCGGTAATCAAGATAGCGGTACTTATACTGATTAAGAATCTATTTGACTTTCTTGGTTCACACGAATGTGCGAGCTGAAATCATTTCCGCCAGTGAAGTTATCTCTTTTGGAAGATGTTACGTTATAGAAACAATAAAAAAAATTATTTTCTATACTCTGCAAGTTGTTGCAAAATTGCGTGAAATCCTCATGTTTATCGCTTTTTGATACTGCTATAGATAAATAACAAAGTATCGGGACGCTCTTGTATCGAGCCCAATCATTAACTCCCTCTTTTCGAACGATCTTGCTGCTCTTGTTCTGTCGCGTAAACGTTTCTGCATCGTAATTAACACTTATGCAACGCATCACTGTTGCATTCGTAATTAATAACAAGGCGCGCTACAGGTATTAAATGGTCAACCTTATTCAGGTTCATCGTTCCACATGGTCATTCAGAATAATTAATAAACAGCGGGATGAATGAAAGGGGGCTTTGATGAAGTTTCACTTATCACTGATGACATTTATGAAAATAATTCATTTTTAAAATTCGCTCTTCTGATAGTACTTTATTAAATTTGAAATTAAGTTGAATATCCCTATGATGCTATTATAGGGTTGATGTTATGATATTTATTTCTAAATGCGCTTAATTAGTCTGCGATTGTCTCCGTCTCGCGCAAAGATAATGCAACGTCGAGTGTTTCATTTAACCCTTCCGCCAAGTACACCGTTACCTTTGTTTTATCACAGAACAGGTTTTTTTGCCGCCTTGTCTTATCTGCGAGTTTTATCACGCACGTACTGATAACATATTCGTTTTATCTGAAACTACGCCATTACTCTTTGAAGTCTTTGTATTTTGTGTTTGGTAATTTGCACTTTCCTGCATGCTCTTTATGATTTATTAAACATAATCCTGCGTACCACATAAAGTGTTACTTAAACAATTTTCTACTCTCTCTTATGATTTTATAGAGATTAGAATATAAAATTTGTAAACCCAAACCACTATCGCAAAATAATTCATTAATAGAATATTACAATCTCAAAATGATCCCTTTAATAGTTCTCAACTAATTTCAATTTTCTTTATTCCTTTTTTTAAACTTTGTTTTCTGTCAATAATCTTTCAGAACTTGATGATACAATCGAAGGAAGAATATTATGAAAAAGTTATATCACATGGCGCCCAAGAGTGATAAGAACTGGCAATGCTTTAATTGAAATTTTTTTATTTCACCTTATACTGACATTCATAAATCTCTGATTAGATTTCACCCATATTCTATTTTTAACAAACATAAACTATTTAGCTTAAAAATCGTTGACCTCAAAACGTTTTTATTTCCTATGTAATATCTAATTTTAGCTTGATATTTTTCGTAGGTCCGAGCCACGACTTATCCAGCTACGTTGCTCGATGATTAACGCGAATGTTCCCTTATACAGCACCTTACATTGATGTCTATAAAAGCAGAGTACAATGAAACTATTTCTTAAAGAACATTACAACTATATTAAAAGAAAAATGTGTCGATCAGCAGTTGGGACATTAATTTTCTTAGAAGCAGACGTTGCTAGGAATTACAGGGTAAAAATCGACCCTCTGTCTTGTACGTATAAGTACTCTTTTATCCTAGATACATATATGTACGTAACACGTACAACGATATCTCCTGCTATTATTCACCGATGAATAATAAGGCATGAACTTTGAGATATACTTCGTATTAAAAAAATAATTCTATTTTCCTCAATTGAGAGAAGTATCGTGTTTGCAGCTCAAAGAAAAAGCAAAAGGAGGGGAAAAAAAGAAGATAATCGAGGCATCTGGCGAACCGGCTCTTCCACTCGGTACTTATTCATTCAGGGAGCAGGAACGATCGTTTCTGATCTCGACAGAAAGTATCAGAACAAGATTGAAATTACCAAGCATTGAATAGCCTGTTTTTTAGATCCTTCGGTTCATATCGACGCATCTATCATTCATTATACATTAATTCCGTAAGATAGTAATCGCAAAGAAGGTACAATAATATGTTTTTCCATATTTTGTCAGGAAAACCCCGCAGACAAGACCTCTGGTCTTGACAGAAAATATTAGGTTTTACGACTAGTAACAATAACTCAGCCTGAATAGAGTTCCAGTTTTTCTCGGTTAAAAATAATTTTTTAAATGAACCTTGACCTTGGATTTCAGATAAATTACTGAAAGGATGCGAAATACATATTGCACCGTTTTGCAAAAATATTCGGACTAACATCGTTCGGTGTTAAACGTACAAGAGAAAAATGTATTGACCATTGTTATTGGAGAAGTAAACATTCCAACGCCATTATTACACTGGAGGCGTTATGCGATAAGGTGGCTGGGGACAGCTGACTATGGAAAGGTGGTATGCGCAGTGTTTAATTGCCATTTCTTTCAATTTCAAATGCGATTCCGAAATTTCACCGTTTCATTGTACCGTTATTATACAGGTACACAAGAAAATTATTTCACAAAGTTTCTAGATTTTCCTTTACTTAATACACAAACCAAAATCTAGGTTTTTTAACAAATTTTTGAACGATTTTAAGTGAAAATAAAAACTCCTCTTGTCACGAGTGTTTCAGAAGCGCGCTCAATAGATCTGTTTTCTCGATTGGATTAACTCGGACTGTCAGGCCGCTTTTAAATCGTTCTCTCTGGTGTCTCATACACTATCGCTGAACTCGAAGATGTGTGCGCGTGTGTGGCTATAATGTGGCGACAGCATGGTGCGTTGCTTACGTAAAAACATTTTTGCTTTGTATTAATATTAATGTCGCTATACGATCGCTTCACGTTCTCAGAATCAACTATTTTTTATTTTCATCCGTTTATTTATAGAAATTTTTCAATTTGAAAAACTTAAAACGGCTTGATAAGACAAAAGCTTTTAAGCCGTCTCGGATGTTCGGTATAAAATATGCTACCTTGTTTTGTACGGTTCTTATCGGTTACACATTATTTCGTAGTTGGTCGGCGCCAACGAAGAGCTAATCTGTCGCCCCTGATATGCGTGCAAAGGTATGCAACAACGATCGCATATTTCTGCGAAATAATGATTTTGATTATTCTCTCAAACTGAAAAATTGCACAAGTGTTGCGTGTTATTTCACTCCTAAAATATAACTGTAATAATAAACTACTGCTATTTTGTCATTTATACGTATTAAAACTCGCGAACTCATTTACTCGTCCTTCAATTACGTTTCTACACGCACGATTAACTTCCAATGAATTTACGTAAGATAAAACAAAAAAGGAGCAAAAATCTGACACAATTATATTGCTAATAAACAACGATTTGTTACAGTTTAATTATAAAGTATAAATATGAACTTAAAATTAAGAACGATTTAAAAAGAGGAACAGTGCACGATGGTACACTTTCTAAATAGTTCCACTCCAATCCACTGTAAAATTGTTTAAATGCATAAAGAATAATAATTTCTGCATATTTGTTCTTCGAACATGGCAGAAATACACACACTGCCGTCATGTGACCTTAATCGTGAAATACACCTAAGGCAGTCCCTGCTAGAAATAGGATTATTCAAGAAGAAACAGGTTACGCGACTAAAAAAAATAAGTCTATCGCGAGGTGTCTTCGAAGATCAACGAAAATTTGTTAGTTGGCCACTGAGAAAGGTATCTCCAATGAAGAGCCATTTTATCAAGGAAATGGTCATCGAGTTCGCTTCAGCGATAAGAGTTAACGGATCTAGATTGCTCACCTGCTTTCGTTTCCGCTGCTGGATATTCTTCGTCGATCGGCAGTCTATTTTGCGGATTGGCAATATAACGCGCGCGAACGATGCACTAGTTGCGTAAAAAGCAGCGTCGAAAACTGACACTATAGAAGCCGTCGTTTTCCTGCTTACATTGAACGAATTTCTGAACTACGTAATCTGTTGCACTCGAGCCAGGGAACATTGGAAGTGGGGATTTACCCGGGGCCCTACCAAGCTGTAGCCGCCCATTGGCTGGTTGGTCCCTGATGCCACAGCCGCAGCTAGCTGTCCAGGTAAAAGTTCAGATAACAGGTAATCGTTGTTCTGCCATCTGGCGAAGCAGAAACCAATCTGACAACTTTCCTGTTGATGCCTCGATTATTTGCCAAAGATTTCTAGAACAATTGCGTTGATAGTTAAAAGAAAACGATACTAAAACAATTATTTTTATCGAGTAGTTTTACAATCTAGGATAAACATCTTAGTACGTGTTTTTAGTGAGAATTCCTCTCTGATATTTGTTTAAATAATAATGACAGACGAGGTAAAAAAATAATGCAGTATGCTTCAATATCGATACCAGATGATAAGCTGTCTTTTATTTCATTTTGAGAATGTCAGTGAAGCTCAAAAACGGGAGGATGTTGGATCCTGGAAGTGGAGGAACATGTCGATGTTGAGGAGGGAGCCAAGTCAATGTTTTAAAAGATGGTAACTTTTTATTTTGAGGATATAGAAGATTGATGTCACAGAAAAGATTGTCTTTCGTTCGATTTTAGATAGTAGATTAGAAAGTGGAGGATTTTGGATGCTAGAGGAGGGAGAGTCTTTGGATGTTCTGGAGAGACCAAAGTGTTAAGAGATACAGAGATTCATACAGTCAATATTCTGAGGGTGATAATTTTTTATTTTAAGAACGTAGTATGAACAAATTGATGCCAAATTGAAGGTTGTCTTTTGTTCTATTTTAGGAAAGCCAGAGAAGCTCAGAAAATGGAGGACTTTGGATGCTGGAAAAGAGAGAACCTTTGGATGTTTGGAAGAGATAGAATCGTTAAAAGACACGTTTTTATTTACCTTTTTCTTTTAATTATCAACCAGCGCGATCCATCGGTCGTTTAGCCTGATGTAGTTTCTAAAATCATTGTTCTAAATTGCAGGGTGCGCAACAGAGCAGCCGACAAAGATGAGATTTTTACCGGCGTCGGTATTTCAGATCGTGAAATATGAACTTAATGTTATTTCGTTTATGGTTGAATTAAATAGGTTCTTGTCTATGCTAAAGATGTACATACCACAAAAAAGGTAGATCCCCAAGTTTTGAAAGAGTTAGCCGCTTGGTGCAGCACTTGTCCGGAGACAACGAATTCTCGAGCATGAGGCACTCTCATTTCTTCTCTGGTTGAACAATTTACTCTGAAATATGGATATTATCAATATCGCGAGCAAGCGTACCAACAAACAGTAAATTGAAAAAGTAACACGAAGGTGTTCATGAACTTTGTTACAATATTATGCGTAAACTCTAAATTCATCTAAAAATTTGATACTTCAGAGTAATAAGAATGACAAACGGTCAGAAAATTATCCAACAGTGTGTGCTCCTTTAGTTTTCCTAATTTCCGGCGGATATTAGTCGACAGCCATCTTGCTAGCAATATTTCGGCGCTCGGCCATTTTTGTTGCGTCGACGTCAAGTGTGGCCAGAGGCCTTTCATAGTAGCCAGTCTTCGAATTTCCTTTGTATCGAAGTAACGACAGGCAGGAACTGTAATTTTAACTGTTTCACATAGTCGACAAGTTTCGTTTGTAGATCAGCAAGGAACGAAAAGAGAGAAAGAAGGAGTTGAACAATTGAAATTTTTTGCTTTGTGGTTGTCTAGGCGAGAAACAGCTAAAAAGCTTCTGAGGCAGAGCCACGAAAAATACGTACCGAGGCGGAGTAATATGAGTAATGCAGCCAACCAGAATGGATCAGGTCTAGAGCAGCAGGTAAAAAAAAGATTAAAAGCTTCATGTATTTCTGACAACGGTAGTTTCGAACCACGTCTTTTCTTTTTATCCGTTTTACCTAAATCATTTATTACTTATTACTATTATCGAGATCGGACCTCGTATAATCAATTTTCAATAGCACATAAGCTGTATTTTATAACCTATACTTTTGCGAGTCATTTAATCCAGTATCTTTTCTAAAATCAAAAAATTTTATAGACCAGGTCATCGTTAGGTTCGTTTGTGACGTACAGCTTTGTAATGGCGGCAACCAATTCCGGGAACAGCATACCTCGTGCCATGACGTATTCGCGTATTATTTTTTTTATCATGTTCAAATTCTTATCGTTAAATGAAATACATGCGACACATGTATTTTTTATACCCTCTTCCATTAATAATAAATATAGCGCATATTTTCATGTTCTTAAATTACAATTTAATACTCATGATTTTTTCATCTCTGAACAATGTATCGTATATTTCGTAACATGATGTTTCTACCTTTTATTTGAACGTAAATGATCGTGGGCATATACGATTGTAATTGCAATATGCATACAAATAACAATGATTTCAAAAATTTGCATTTTATGTTTTAGTTAGCTGGTCTGGACTTGCAGGGCTCCCGCCAACCAAGTGGGGGTCGCTACGTACCACCGCACCTGCGAAACAAATCTGGAAGTCAGTATTAAACTATGAAATATCTTTAGTAGCTGTTGAAAAAAATTTATCCTTTACTTTGATTATGTATAATTACGACCGTATCGAACAGGTAAAATAAAAGAAATTGTTTGTAGGTAACGCACCTTCGGGCGGAGAACATCATTCTTCTTCCAACTCAAGACCATATTCTGACCGGGAGAGAGGTGGAGAGCGTGATCGCGAAAGGGAGAGAGAAAGAGATCGTGATCGTGGAAGAGGAAGTGGTGTTGGTACTGGTGGCGGTAGCAGCGGCGGTCCTGGTGCTGGAGGTGGAGGTGGAGGTGGAGGCGGAGGCGGAAGCGGTAGCGGTGGCGGCGTTGGTGGTGGCGGCGGTGGCGGCGGCGGCGCAGGCGGAGGTGCTGGTGGTGGTTCAGGATATAGAGACGGCCGAACTTCCCGCGATGTCGACTTCGGAAATTTTGGAAACTTTGGTGGACGCAGTAGACGTAACCCTGCCCAAGAGAATGGAAGAGATTTTAGATACCCGAATTCCGATCGTGAACGGGATCGCCCGGTTAGCTCCGGAAATGATCGTTGGCAAGAACCTAGAAACGAGCGCTGGCAAGACACTAGAAACGATCACAGAATGGGGAGTAGCAGTGGTAGATGGAAGGACGACAGAGAAGGAGGCAGAAGAAACTCTGAAATTGATTGGACAATTCCCACTTCCAGAGATGAGCGACTGGAGGTGGAACTATTTGGTACTGGGAATACTGGCATTAACTTTAGTAAATATGAGGATATCCCAGTTGAGGCTACTGGAGATAACATACCTCCTCACATCACATCTGTAAGTTATAAAAAATATTCGGGTAAATTATACTTAATAACGTCGTACACATTATTCACAACTTATTTCTTTTTGCAGTTTGACGAAGTTAAGCTGACAGAGATAATAAAAAATAGCATTACTCTGGCTGGTTATGATAAACCTACACCAGTACAGAAATACGCGATACCGATTATTATCGGGCGCCGTGATGTTATGGCCTGTGCCCAAACAGGGTCTGGTAAAACAGCGGCCTTTTTAGTGCCAATATTGAATCAGATTTATGAAAGCGGGCCGCGTCCACCGCCAGTCAATTCTGGCAAGCGTAAACAATATCCATTAGGTCTAGTATTAGCACCTACAAGAGAGCTTGCCACACAAATATATGACGAAGCACGGAAATTTGCGTATAGATCACGTATGCGTCCTGCTGTTGTCTATGGTGGTTCAAACATTGGTGATCAAATGCGAGAATTAGATCGTGGCTGCCATCTTCTTGTAGCAACACCCGGACGTCTCGGAGATATGTTGGGACGCGGTAAAATTGGGTTACATAATTGCCGGTGTGTATCACATTTTTACAGCCGATAAATCGTTAATTATTTGAAATATCTAATCCAAGTAAAATACTGAATTTCTCTTTCTTAGATTCTTAGTTCTGGATGAAGCAGATCGTATGTTGGATATGGGTTTCGAACCACAGATCAGACGTATAGTTCAACAAGACACTATGCCACCCACCGGTGAAAGACAAACGCTCATGTTTTCAGCTACGTTCCCAAAAGAAATACAAATGCTTGCAAGAGATTTCTTGAGTAATTATATCTTTTTAGCTGTGGGCCGTGTCGGCTCGACTTCTGAAAACATTACTCAGAAAATTGTATGGGTGGAAGAACAAGACAAGCGTTCTTACTTGCTTGATCTTCTTCAAGCCAATAACTTCGCAGATCCTAGTAAGTTGCAGAAATTCAAATGAATATACGATATAAAATGTATCCCGTGATACAATACATAGATATATAAACTCGATCGCTTGAAATTTCAGCGTCTGAATCATTAACATTAGTGTTTGTGGAAACAAAGAAAGGTGCAGATATGTTAGAAGAATACTTACATCAGATGGGCTACCCGGTAACTAGCATTCATGGTGATCGAACACAGCGCGAACGAGAAGACGCCTTACGTCGTTTCCGTGCTGGTAAAGCGCCAATACTCGTTGCGACTGCCGTAGCTGCTCGTGGACTTGATATTCCACATGTGAAACATGTGATAAACTTTGATTTACCAGGAGATGTGGAAGAATATGTCCACCGAATTGGTCGTACTGGTCGTATGGGAAATTTAGGTTTGTTTTTTATACATATTTTTAGCGAATTATTTGATCATTTTATATAATGGTAATATATTTTCATTTATATAAATAGGTCTGGCAACGTCATTTTTCAATAATAAAAATTCTAACTTGGTACGCGATTTGGTATCTCTTCTAATCGAAGCCAATCAAGAAATTCCACATTGGCTGGATGAAATGTTTGCTGAAGCAAGATACACTGGAGGTGGATCTCGTCGAGCTGGTGGTAGTACTAAAAGCCGATTTAGTGGCGGATTCGGTGCAAGAGATTATCGTCAGAACCCTAGTTCTGGATCAGCTCGCAATGGTTCCTCCGGTCGGCCCGGTGGTTATGGAGGTTAGTATAGATTTATTATTTGGGTACGAACGATTTTAATCAAATATTTACACATGTGAATTGCTTTCTTCTCTAGGAGGTTATGGAAATTATGGAAATAATTATAATTCATCGTACAACTCTAGTAACAACATTAGCAGTAACGATCCTGATTGGTGGGGCAAGTAAATCGTCATCACCACCACCATCTTTATTTCCACTTTTACTACTATACACATAAATTCAAATATATGTAAGAAAGACACGTACGACATACACATGGTGTAACAACACGCACGTACTTGCGCGCGTATACACAACAAAAGACAAACAATTATCACGTATAAACACATCACGTTCTCTAACTGCCTGTGCACTACAATTTTCAAACTAAAAAACAAACAAGTAATTGTGTTTATTCAATTCCATAAATACTTTTTATTCGTGTGTGACGAAACACAATTGACAAATCCGAAGTGCAATTCCAGTGTTTAACATCGACGAAAGAAAATCGGAATGACATGTAAAATAATGATCTCACTTTGATGGGAAACCCGAGAGACAGTCAGGATTTGTCAGGTACTAGATAAAACGATATAAGATCCATCCAAAGTTTCGTTGCCGTGCGTGTTGAAATAACACAAGTAGTATAATCACTAATGAATCAAGTCGAGCAATCGTTAATGTCTAGATAGGACATATAACGACATGATACATAGTAGGTGGAGAAACTTAGTGAAATTTTTTAGAACTCCTGTCGAGACTATGAAGCTTTGTTGCGGCTTCATTATTTAAATTTTTGAAGGACGTGGTGGGCGTATCTTCGAGAATTATGGCGTCTAGAATCGAGTAATCGTAGAGCTTTAAATGCACAAGTGCTTTATTATTCTTGCCTGAATGGCCAGTAACTTGTGTAATTTGATTTAAATTAATGGCGCCGTTTTTTCTTTTTTTCTTATTTTTATTTTTTATTTTTTTTCTTTTTTTTGTAATACATATATATATATATATATACACATACATATAACATATTTGACTAGGCGCCCCGGATACGCCATATCGCCATCGCCATAGCTTTTCGTGACAATTCCTGTTTTAAATTTACTATAGTCCAGCGACGAATGGTACTTTGTTGTTTTGCCGTCCCCAGACACAGACGACATTGCGCCGGCAATATCATGGTTTAATCGACTAAAAAAACCTTGTAAAAGTTTCCAGTAGTCGAGAGCTTTGATATTAAGAGAAGGACAACACAGGCTGCGTCTTAGGATACTTTTAGAAATCTCGTTTATACAATATTTCTGTCACGTCCTCTTAACAATAAGTACGTTTTCAAAGTCGAATTGCTGTATACTTATTGCTTGTGTGTGTGTGTAACACTTTAATTCAAAGAATTATTTTATTTAAAACTTTGATCATTGTATTTAGAGTAGGCTGGAACGTTTTCAGCGAGTATCAGGTATGGTGGTGTACCTGAATTTTAATGTACTCTAAGTAGAATTTCTAAACGTAACAAAGACGTTGTCCTGTAACAATGGTATGGTGCGTTATAAAAACATACAAAAAAAACCTTAAGATTGCAATACTGGATGCGAGTGCTCGAGAACGAAAGCTTACATTTTAAAAACGGGTTAAACAAACAGAACAAAACAAAAAAAAATACGGTTGCAGTTACAGAGGGGAACTTCAAAAAAGAAGAGCAACAATACATACACCATTAGTTGGCTCAACTTTTCAAGGGAGGACATAAAGAAAATACTATTACAAAAAAGCAAGCCCTTTGAAAATAAGGAAGCATTAAGGACGCACTCATATTTTATAACTGTAATTTATCAGTACGATAACGCTACATATATAAATATATGTGCGTGTGTATATATATATATCTCTGTACGTATATATATACATACACACTACGTAATATTCGTAAATACATAAACATTAAAATAATTGATAAACGACTGTGATATCGAACGATCTTGTGACATTCAATTTCCATTGCGAATTGATTAATGAACAATTTAATGAAATACAAATGTTAAATGTATGAATTAATCGGTATTGAATGTCAGGAATGCATCAAGCTCAGTTTGTTTGAGCCGGGAACGGGAATATTAAAAGTCGTTAAAGTAAATAACATCTAAACAAATAACGTGGCTGTTGTCCGATCGGGGAGGGCTGAACGCTAGCTCTTACACAGTCCTGAAAAACACGTTTTTTGGGGCATTGTTTCTACTTAAATGGAAAACAAAAAAAAGAAGTTAAATAAATAAATTAAATAAATAAATGCGCATTAAACGATAGATGATAACGACAAAACGCGTCATTACTGGTTGATGATGTTGGTAGGGCTTTATAGAATGTCGATATCTTTTTGTGCAAAGAAAGAAAAGTAACGAAAAGAATATAAAAGAAAAACAAAAAAAAAAATAATGAAACGGAAAAGAAAATGAAAAAAACGTCGGATTCTTACCTAATCTATGCGAGAAAAAGTACAAATTCAACTTTTTGCGTGACAACTGACAGGATTTTTACACATGTCATAACTTATACCTGTTATATTAATAGATTTATAGTGCAATCGCGTGCGTGAATCGTATGCCGTGTGACCGTGGACCAAGGGTGTGAATGACTTCCGTACCCCTAACGAGGGAGGGAGAATAATTAATTTCAACTAGAACTTTCAAATAGTGTTACGAATAATAATTGTTGGCTTCCGACTATATATGGTGCGTGTGATTTCAAATTCTAATATGATTTTATCGTCGAGTCCGTTTGTCCACTCGGAGGCCCTGCCAAGAACATTACAAACAAAAACCTACAACGAAAAGTGATCGACCACTTTTTCGTTATATAATATAGTGTACAATTTTTACTTACGGCACAATTTAATTGTTCAGTTTGAACCTTAGTCTGTTAAGAGAATAGTAGGATCATTGCCGTAATACTACTACTACTACCGCTACTAGTGCTACTACTACTACTATTACTACTACTATTACTACTACTACTAGTACCACTCTTATTTGTTACTATTCATCTTTTTTTTTTTTTTTGAACAATGTATCTCCGTGTCGATTTCCCTAGGTGGTACTATATACGGTATGCGCAAAGTTGCGTTGCGTTATTTTATTATAATAGAAGAAAAACAAAGAATTAGGTGACTTTTGGACACTATTATCCTGAATTTTAATTTTTCTTTTTTCTCTCCTTCGTTATTTTTTTTTTTCTTTTAATCCACGGAAATCGGTCGTTACTTTTCTACTGGTGTAATTACAATTTAATCAAATCTATTTTGGGAAACCGACGAAATTCCGGATTCTACTGTCCAATCGTTAACTCAGGCAACGAATACATATGACGCGTCGGTGTAAGTTATTAGTCTCTTTGTGCAGTTGGAAGTAAATACGTTCATTTACGAGTAACGTGGTGGACAGAGATTATGCGGTTAACGTCAACTATACGCGAAAGTATTTTCATACTTATTTCTTCTCTCCTAGTTATAAATATTTTTATACGCAACAGTGTTGATTGACAAACAATCGCGATATCATTGATTCCATATTCTTTTTTTTTTTAACGATCTTAGCTATATCGTATTCATTTCATATGTAATATATATAAAAAGAAAAAAAAAAATGAAAATTGACAAATATTTTTGTGCGATCGTCAGATGTCCACCGTTTCGTAATTGAGATGTACACACGTGTAAATTCTTCGAGTACGTGGTATTATGATTTAGAGCGTAATTAACAACTTTAGACGAATTAAAGAAAGGAAAAATGAAAAAACGATGTTATATTAAACGACACTATTTATTAAGTATTTATTTTTTACGTTTAATTCTCGAAGAAGATGTCGATAAAAAAGGGACAGTCATATATTTGTACTGTATCAACTACCTTTTTTTAACGTTATGTTTAGTCCTCTAATGTATATCGGACGAGCAGCCTTAGGAAACATTTATGGATCTACTCAGAGAGTGAAATGATTAGACAAAGATGAATTAAAAGTGTAGTGCGAAGAAACGAGAGAAGAGGGGCTACGAATAGTAAATCATTGCATATTGTGTAAAAAAAAACTGAAAAAAAAAAAAGGAACAAAGGTGTTTGACTGTGACTGCAATCATTATTAAGAATGAGAATGCGCAATTACAAAGCACACATACGGGAAAGAGAGTGAGAGAGAGAGAGAGAGAAAGGATGAAAAAAGCATTGTAAGCCATATTTATTTTATGTAAGACACGCGACAAGTGTGTCAGAAGAATGTCTTACTTAGGCAGGCGAGGATGCCGCCGAATACGATTATCATCGCGTGCTGTAGATGATAATTTCTTTTTTTTCTATTAATTCCTTACGTCTTGTTCACATTTGAAACATTTTGTTTACGAACGGTGTTGTTCGCGTTGCTTTTGGTAAAAGACAGACAAATTTGTATGCGCTTATTGTATGGACCTACCTTGAGCAACGTTCCGTTTAACCCTTTAGCTACGAGCAAAAACGTTCGCTGTTATGAGCTATGTAATTCATTGTAAGTTAATGTAAAGTAATATTATTTAGACGAAAGGAAATTGTAAATGAATAACAACAAAACAAGCGGTGACGATGATCCATGCAGCTTCTATAGTGTCTTTTCGTCCGAGGAAACCGCTTAAAATAGAAGCCATTATAATGGTGTAGTAGTAGCTGAAGGGTTAAGGTGAAAAGGTTAAAGTTAATACTCAGAGAAAAAAGAAAACGAATAACAACAAAGCATTGAAGCATTGAATAATCGTATGTGCGAGATGTGAATGTGTCTGTGTATGTATGTGTGGGAGAGACAGGGAGAAACAGAGGATGGGCACGAAACGGGAGGGTAAGAGCATACGCGTAGGCTGACAAAATTGGAGGGATGGCAAAAAAAGAAAAAATGTCTTCGAAAATTTTTATGAATGTTATTTCATCGAAGAAGCGTCGCTTGTCGTCGAATCGAGAACGCAGACAAAGGATGTATTTATAAAAAAAAAAAATGGAAAGAAATTTTCTGAAGGAAGCTAGTATCGCTTCTAGGCACGAGTCTCGATGGCTGTGTTTTACTTTTTCCGCGGCGAATGACGCTCGTCGTTGTGTATCATCCACTTGTGTAACTCTAATGATACTGCTATATTATCTTACTTCACTGAGATGGCGAGCAAATGGCAAACAAAAAAAAAAAAATAAGAAACAAAAAGTGTGAAAGAGGAAAGAAATGGAACGGTGAACGTACCATTCTGTCGGTCTCTTAATTAATAATTGCACATTTACACGCTACATTAGGTGAACCAAGGAAAATACGCGAGAAGTAGGAACAAAATTTCGCAAAACAACTGTACGTCGTACGGCTACTGAAAGAATAAATAAAAATAAAGTGTCTGAAATTTCAAAAGGGAAGAAGTCAACTTAAAAACCCTATAAAGTGTATAATACATATACATATATATATATATATATATATACATACATAATATGTATACACTTTGTCGTTCATTAGCAATAAGTTACGAATTGCATTAAGGGGAACATATATGCATCCTTGTGCTTAGATAAAAAGCAAAACATGTGTGTTCTGTGAAGAATGATGTAGAGTGTCAATATTGTTACAAATACCTCATAAGAGACGATGGATCACGTATATTATTTAAATGTTCATTTATTCATTTTAGTGATTCATTCGTTTATTTATAGTATTATGCAAAGTGACAGGAGAATTCTATAAAATGATACCGTATAATAAAGAAGGAAAAGATTATGCAGTGTTAGAGTCTTCTTTTCACCCTGTATTTTAAATTAAAATACAAAACATTTTACGATACTTTATGATACTATTTTATTTTCTCGTTTTACATACCATAAAATTGCATAATCTTTTGTATTGAACAATTTTTAAACTCGTGAAATTTCAAAATATGATCTTTTAACAGTTGCTAAGCGAAACTAATTTAATTTGTTCGAAATATTCATAATTTCTTTTCAAAAACGGACGGGTATAAGCATTATAGTATAAATATCCCGGTTCGCCACGGAGGCTTCCGGGCTACCGGAACTTCGGGACTTCCCCGGTGGTTTCCGTTTCCCCTTATGGTCTCTTATTGAACAAATTAATAGACTTCTTCCCTTGCACCCTTTCTTAACCTAAGAAAGCCATGTATGCGCGCATTATACCCACGCTATAAGAAATTAAATATGTATTTATGATGCTAAAAAGTTTTTTATTTTAAGAGCAGCATCGCAAACATTTCATGGAAATTCGCCAATTTCTATATAAGTACGACATCTTACCACAGAACTTAGAAGCAGAAAATATGGCGAATCTAAAAGTTGTTAAATTGCTCGAAGCTTGCAACAAACAAAATAAAGTTAATTTCATAAATATAATAACAAGAAATGTACAAAGTAAAGCTCCGGCTACTGCTAAGCAAGTAACTCATACTGGTCAGGTAAAGCATCATTGATAGAAATAGTGATTTATTGCAGAATTAATTTTTATGATTTTATATACATCGTATTGTTTGTAATAGGTGTTTGATGACGATGATTATCGCAATGTAAGATTCATAAATAGACAAAAGGAAGTTAATGAGAACTGGGCTATTAAATTAATAGACGAAGTTCCTCCTGAACCTGCAAAGGACAGAATTGTATCTTGTAATGGTGGTGGTGGACCTTTGGGACATCCAAAAGTTTATATTAACTTGGTAGAGTTTATACTTAGTTACAGTTTCTTTATTAAACATTGATTAAATAAATGTATTAATTACATATTATTATATAATATTTTATTTCAGGATAAACCTGGTAACCATACTTGTGGATATTGTGGCTTAAGATTTTACAAAGAAGATCATCATTAGTGAATAATATGGTACATACAGGTTGTTAAGTAGTAAATTATAAAAATATTTTTAAAAATATTATAATATATAATGGAAATATAAAAAGATGAAGTTCTTCTTTGAATATTCTTTAATTCAAAAGTAATATTCACTTAAATAAAACTTTCATTTTATAATAACAATTATGTTTTACAGAGCTGTCTTTTGATTATTCATACCTAATGGTATTGCTTGTAATTCTGTTTTCATACAAAGAAATTCACCACAAACACACATTATACTTAAAGATACAATATTTAAACACCACCAACTAAAAGTTGAAGGAAAACTTGCATTGTATGCCCAACAGCATAACAAATGTATCAGATGTGCAGTGCAAGCAAAGTCCATACACTGTTTTGTTCTTTGCACTAACCACCATAATGCAAATGCTCCAATTAATGCATTTAAAACAAATATTACTATTATAAATTGGCCAGCAAAATCTCTAACATGTATTTCCTTATAATGAAAAGCATAGTCCAATGACTTTGTTGTCCCTATAAGAGAAGCAACAATCCAAATCCATAGCCCAAGGCAAAAATACATAACAGTTTGAACAGCAATTATTTGAGATATTATAAGAAATGGATCCCATACTGTTTTACGAAATTGTCCAGAAATATTATTCATTGTCTATAAAATTCTTAGTTCTTCTATTAAGGAATTAAGTCTTCTTTGTGTTGTCACTTTTATACCTTATTATCATTTTGATCCATTTTGTAATCTAAAAGCACTATTAAATATAAATATTTAACCTCTGTTCATTATATTAACTGGTAATTATAAATATATGAATCTTATTATATAAAGTACTACTTACATGAATCTATAAAAATAAATTTTCGAAAATGTGACAGTTACCATGTATATAAGTATTTATACAGTAACATCGTCCTTTTATCTTTCATCGTACATTTTCTCTTTTGTAGCCACTTCGAGTGCAATGTAACATATTTTCCTTTCTATAGGAAATAAGTAATTATATTACGCAGAATACACAATTTAAATCAATCGATGACAAACTTTAAGGAACATGATTTGATTAGGTTAACTTCAACATATGATCTATAGAACTAATACTTCAAAATATACATATGTATATATAGTTCGCGACGTATGAGACACGAGACTGACGTAAATATAACGTGAGTTACATGCAGCGAGTTACGTTGTAGAAGTAAAGTTGGAAAAATGCAACTGTGGGATTTTGTTCGTAATATTTTTGGTGGAGGAAATTCCAAGGAACCTCCCATAACAGGGTAAATTATAATAAATTCTTTATTCATAAATTAAAGAAAGATTTATAATGTATGAGAGTACTACATCACAACTTAAAATTATCTTCTTTTTTGACGTGAATGAATTATTATGTTTTAATTACAGTTAACTGATAAATGTTTTCAGATATTTTGATCATCAAAATAATGACAATTTTATAAATCCAATTTGGCAAGATGATGAAAATGCATACAACATTAGGTAACTTGTGTTTCATGTTTTGTCTGTAGATATGCTTTGTTTTCTTTTAAATGTTCTTAAAATAGAAATTTAATAATTTGAATCCTTTAATTTGTAGACCATTTGGAGAAAGCAATCACTTCAATATCTTCAGCGATCCATTGCAAATGGCACATCACTTTATATCTCAAATAGATCATATGTTAAGTGATCATATTTTTGATAAGTTCATGTTTGGCTTTGGTAATGAAGGTATATTTTTAATTTTAAATAAATACATGTATTCAAATTTACTTGTACTTTCATGAACATCATAATTTTGTTAAAATGTTTTTAGGACAGAATATATTTACAGATGCATTTTCATTCGCATCTCCACCTAATGAGAACTTACGTGATAAAATGTTAAAATCACCCAATCATGATATGTTAAGTCAACCAGCACTTAAGTTAGATACAGATTTAGATGGAAAGTAAGTACCGACATATTGTAAACTAGTATTCTTTTGATTCAGAAGATTGAAAATGACTGAAAAAATATTGTTCACTTGAACAGGATTACACCAGATAATTTTTCAAATGTTTGGGATAAGCAAAACGAATCAAATTCAGAAGAGCTAAGACCATTTGCACGCATAACTGGAAAATCTGTAATGAAAGAATATGTAAGGGGACCTGATGGGATTATAAAGCAAAAACAAGTAATTCGAGACCATGAAGGAAATGAGGAAACAATTATATCACAAAAAGTTGGTGAAAAAATGTACACTGTTGTTATAAAAAAGGATAAAAATGGAATAGAGACGAAAACCGAAAATTTTTACAATACAAATGAAGGTAGGTAAATTATGTATACTTGATGTCACGAGAGTCCATAACTAAGCGCGCAGGTTGGAAGATGGTGGGGACACGCAGCGATGGTGGGGGAAAGCGATCCGCCAATCGCTTTCCACTTCCGCTGGAAGTATCGCCAATCAGAGCGACAATGCGCAGAAAAGAACAAAAACTGGTCTTTTCGCAGTTATGGACTCTCGTGACATCAAGTATAGGAAGTTACACATTTAATACATAATTATACGAATTTTAGGTGATTTGACAGATGGAAAGGACTTGTTATTGAAAAATGACTCCACTTTCAATAATTTTAATGTAAATTTATTTCTATGGAAAAACTTCTTCAATCCTAACCCAAAATTATAGACAAGTAAGAAAATCCATATAGTAAATTTTATATAGCAAAGTACATACTAGTACATGATCTTGAAATTAAAGTTATGATTTAAAATATACATAAATACAATAAACTTAATGTAACTATATCAAGTTATTCAGTTTAAGAGGGTATTCTTCTCTTCCTCAATGTGTTTGGAAATGAATATGTACAAAAAAAAAAAGAAACTGAAACATAACTATTGGGATGGGATTTGTTTATACTTGGTATATAAAAAAAAATGATTCAAATTAAAAATATGTCATTTATTGTACAATACAACTGTACAAGTACAAAATTGTGGACTGAAATTACAATCCTTGTGTTTAGTCAAATAAACCTGTAAAAAATGAATGCAATTAAAATAGATTCTAATTCTTGGACAATATGATGCATGTTACATTACAAATAAATTACTTACCAAAGCCCATATCATCATCTGATTCCTCTTCAGGTTCTTCTTTTTTCTTTTCTTCTTTCGCTGGTGCAGCTTCTGCACTAGCAGGTACTGCAGCTGCTGGAGCTATAAAAGATAACAAAATAGGTAAATGATATTACCTAAAAGGTAATCTACATTATTTAATACTTATATTAAGTGATTGTTGCATAAAATAATTAAGTTATATTCTACACCTACAAATATAACTATTAAAAATTTTTATTCTTTTTCTTTTCCCTCTGTTGCTGACCTCTCTAATAAGTAATGCTATTTAGATTGGTGGATGAAGAGGACAGTTAATAAAACCTTTCAAGTTATTTCTAGATTTAAATGTAATAAATTAAAAACAGCAATGCTTTTACAACCTGCTGCAGGTGCACTTCCAACTCCTGATCCAATGTTTGTGAGGAGTTCTTTTATATTTACACCTTCCAAAGCCTTAGCAAAAAGTCCAGGCCAGTAAGATTCCACTTCAACATTGGCAGCTTTCAAAATTGTTTGGATCTTTTCACCCTAAATCATAGATACGTATATAAAACCTTTCATTCATTTTGATACCATAACTTTATCAGTATTTATTCTTTTATTATAAATAAAATAAACACAACAAACAGTGTTATAACAGAATACAACACCACGTGAAAAATACTTACAGTTACAGCCACATCATCATCGACAAGGATTAATGCCGAGTAAATGCACGCGAGTTCAGCTTTGGTATTCATGTTTATAACTTATGTGTTTTATATTAAAACTGGATGAATGTTAATAAAGGTGCAAGTCGCTGATACGGCCTTAGCTCTTTAGAAGAGAACAAGCACCCAATATCGTTCTACCCAGCACTCAGCACGAAGGGGAAATAGAGCGAGCTTAACGGAAATCACGTGATGTAACTTTTGGGAGATATTGCAATGCAGCGATGAAAAAGGCTTAACAAGAATACGGTAATTCTATTGGTTAATTTTACAAATTTGTATAAAAATACTTTATACCATGAAGTTATTGCATTGCATTGTGTAAAATATCTCATATTTATTAATTTCATACATTATAATGTTAAGTATTACATGCTTCAGGTAATAAAATGTAATCTTGAAAATAGCCTGCACCACATATACAAATTTGTAAGTAAAAGTATAGTTAAAAAATGAGACTAAAGAACTTGAAACAACTTTAATAATTAATTTATTGTGTGTTACAGAAATGAATGATGTGTATTTAATAATCGCCTGTATACTTGATTTCACGAGGGTCCATAACTGCGAAAAGACCAGTTTTCGTCCTATTCTGCGCATTGTCGCCCTGATTGGCGATACTTCCAGCGGAAGTGGAAAGCGATTGGCGGATCGCTTTCCCCCACCATCGCTGCGTTCCCCCACCATCTTCCAACCTGCGCGCTTAGTTATGGACTCTCGTGACCTCAAGTATATATATTACAGCACATCTTCATGAATATTAGAAGGTGGCGCCACATAGTGAAACATTTATTTAGCAAGTGATAGGAGTATACTCTATTTTTCCTACTAATAACGACGTAAATGTGAATCGACATTCGAAAGCTTTGCATCGATTAATATCGTACACGTAATTGCATTAGTTTCGTGTCTTTATCTGAATGTTACATGTGATGTTTAATTTGTTTCTGAATTAGAAGTATTCGTGTCAAAGTGTTTGACACGTAGTTATTTGTTTCGTGTCCACCTTATAGTTTTATGAATAGTTTGGCAAACACTTCTTTCCCGATACGTTGCTATGTAGTACCGGTGTAAATGAAGCGGCGGCGTATAGCGCGGTCGCGTGGTAAAGGGATACCGCCTTTGAGGATGATGAAAATGGCGCGCAAATGTTGCGTGCGTAGCTGTGAGGTTGATGTTCAGGATGCTAGAGCGAAGGGTTTACCGCTTCATAGATTTCCAAAAGATAATAATTTAAGAAGTAAATGGTTGGCTAGTGGTGGATTCGAGACAAGTTTCAAACCTACACCGGGTCAAGTTGTCTGCCACAGGCATTTTAAACGTGCTGATTACGAAGCCGCTAAGGGACATAAATTACTTCTGCGTAAGGGCAGTATTCCATCAGTTTTTGCAGATTATGACAATCATCCAGGTACGTTTGGTATAGTATAAAAAATTTTATCTTTACTTATTCCATATTAAATACTGTCAAATACAAAATTTTCATTAAACTATTTTGTATATCTTCTGCACATCATTGTTTACTTTTTTCAATGTAATTAATATTTTTTCCTACCTTTTTGTATTTAATGCTTTGTACAATGATTAATCTAGGTACAGTGTAATAGATGATATACACTTATTTAACAATATTTTTATATTTTATTATTCACAAAGTAATATATCTATTATATAAAGTATAGTTGTAATCATCAATGAAGTTTGTTACATTGGTTTGATATTTCTGGTGTACACATAACACTAAAGTATATAATTCTTTTGTTAGTTTAGCGAATATCCTAAAGTTTTGAATGAGTTTCCTGTAATAATCTCTATGAAGTATCAGATGCTTACAGTTGTTCATTTAATACCATTTCCTGATCTCCTTCCCAGATGACAAAGCTGTCCAAAAGATGTAATTTGCAGTCAATATTCTGTTTACCAGCAAGCAAGAAATATATAGTTTGAAAAGATTCAGTTTAGTTTTAAATAAATAACAAAATTGTGTGAAAGATATAGAAACAATGCCTACAATGAAGTTCTACAAGTCATAAATACAAAATTGGGAACAAAAAAAAGTATATAGTATAACATTCTATGTATACATTTGTATTGGCAGTAAAAATAAAGATAGGGAAATATCATATGCAGTTATAAAAAATATTTAATAAATATTCTAATACATATTAAGTCAAATATATTGAACATTTTGACTGCCATGCCAAATTTATAGAAAGTTTATTTGTAATTAAATAAGTAAATAATGATGTGTGTATAGATGGATAGTAAAGTTTGTCCAGAAATTTCTACATTATTCAAATATGGCAGACAAAGTGTTAAAGAATATTTTACTTTTTGAATTTTCCAATTAATCAATATTTAGATTTTTTTTACAGATCCTGTGATTATGTCTGTGAAATCATCAACTTCTTATGCGCAGGAGGATTTGGATCTCATTAATTCTGAGATTTTAAATTTAGAGCAATGTATTTCACCATTGGTATCTGAAGGAAGAACACAAAAGTCTGATACCCCTAAAGAAACATGTTCTTCTCAATCAGCATCATTAGCTGATTCTTTGAATGAGTTAGATTCAACAGAATCTGTTGACAACGGGTACAAAAATTTGAACATAAAAGAAAAAGACAGCATAAAAGAAGAAGTTCCTATAAAACAGGAAGCAAATGAAACTCCAGAGGTACAAGTAAATACCATGGCAGTGCAATTGGGAATTGTTGAATCAGACATGGCAATGAAGCATATACAAAAAAATTTAATTATAAAAGAAGAATTAAAAAACGTAAAAATGGAAGATGAAAAAGTATTTGAGAAGTCAGATGAATTGAAACCAAAGATTTTAAATAAGGGTGGATTAAAATTTTTTCCTGGTGCCAAATTAGAAGCAAAGGATTTCAATGAAAAATGGTAAACTTCACAAATTGATTGATTTAATATATTGATTATTACAAAACTAATTACTGGTATTATGTTATAGGTATTCAGCCAAAGTAGTGGAAACTGATTGGGATGAAAGAGAAGTCTTGATCCATTTTGATAAGTGGAGTTCAAGATTTGATGAATGGATACCTATGGATAGCTCTAGATTACGTGTATTGCAAACACAACCAACGTGAGTAAACATTTTAATGAAAGTATAAAAATTATTCAGGTATTAGTTCAAAAAAAAAAAAAATATAATAAAAATTTCAATACATTATTACTTGTTGCTTTACTTATCTTGCATGTTAAGATGGTTTTTGTAACATTTTTTTTCTTTTTTTTCTTTAAAGCGAAGAAACATGGGATCCGCCAGCATCGTAAGTTGATCTTTCATAATTGTTAAATAGATGAAAGCTTGAACCCTTTGTGGATGGGACCGTCCGATGCGTGAGCGTCGGTAGGCCAATGTTAGCAAGCACACGTCCGCAAAGGGTTAATTATTTGCAATATCCTTCAAGTGGCTTAAATTATTCATTGCAGTGCCATTAAATAAGAAATTTCAGTTCTGTTATACTTTATCCAAGACTGTCGATTTTGACAGTTGTGGATATATTATGCTGATATACAACCTAAATTGGAATTAATGAGTAGAATAGAAATAAAAGTATATGAATTTATTTATCAGCAACTGAAATTTTCATTGAAAAATATCGACATATGTTTTTAGAAAATCATGTTACAACATAGTCTTACTTAATATGTTACACAAGTTGAAGTTGTTTTTATTTTAATATTTAAAAATTTAATACATGTTTTTTTTGACATTTCAAATCACAATATATTCCTTTTATTCTGTTAAAAATAAACTATAATCAGTATTGTTATAAAGCTAACATAATATAAAAAATAAAATAAGCATATGTTAAATTTTCAACAATATTCAAATTATACATATAATTGAAATAACAAAATTAGTGCATATATGAAAGAAATTGCTTGTTTAATTGTTTTCATTTATTTATTATAATGGCCGATAATATTTTTTCGGACGTAATAATGAATCAGTTTAATACCTTCAGGGAAGAAAATATGAAAGATTTTTTAGTGGGAGAAAGGATACTTGCTACATGGGCTGATGGTAGAAAATATCCAGCCAAAGTGAATGCAGTTTTAGGAAATGGTAAGTGATCTAACCTTAACTATATATATACACAAGAGAAACAGACTGTTGTCTATATTGGTGGTTTGATGTTTCTTGGAAGGATATTTGTTTAGTTGTAAAAATGGTGCCTTTTTAATATAGAATTGTTTTCACAGATAGGTATGATGTACTCTTTGATGATGGATATGCAAAGACGGTTAAATCGTCAAAAATGACAAAAATTACTCCAGCATCTACCAAGGTACGAATTTTGTTGTAAGGTTATGTTGTCCTATATCATTGGTATAAAAACTAGCAGACTGCTTATTTATTTTTTTACTCTCTCTTATTTGGTTGTTTTCCTTTTAAAACAGATTTTTTAAAATTTGTTTTATTAGTTTAAATGTTTAGAGATAAGTAGTTCTAGTTGAGATATTTGTATAATAATATAACTATTTAACATTAGTGATAAAAATACATTTTGGGAATATCTTAATATATATTATTGTCATACATTGAAATTTTGTGTAATACAAACTATATACTATTTAAATAATGTACATTTTTTAATATTGTATAAATAATGAACAAAACAAAAATATTATTTATTATTTTAAAATGACATTAAGTTGAGAACATAAATAATTTAATGTAACATGAAAGGAATAAAATAATCAACAATGTATTGTAACATTTATGTAAAACAAGTTATAAGGTGAAATTTTATTGTTTTTAATAGCAATTTAGTCAAACTGAAGAGTATATAGGAAGCAAGCAAGAGAGGAGAGATAAGAAAAGAAAACATACAGTTATGGAATTATTTCATACACATTCGAGAAAACGGACGAAAAATGAAGGAGATAAAGTAGCCAAAAAGCAAGAGGTGGCAATTAATGAAAATGGAGAAGTTACAGACAAAATTGATTTAGATGGTACTCTGTTTGGCCCTTGTTATGATCCTGGGACAGATCTATTACGGGGATTTGACACAAATATATCCAAAATGAAAGCTTGTACAAAAAAGAGCAAGAAGGATATCCCAAGAAATGATGTAAATCAGGAGGATGATGTAGGGCCAGAATGGGTAGATGGAGAACCTCAAGGAACTGAATCTTACATAGTAGATGGAAATGATGGTATTTTGAGAAAAAAATATATTCTTAATATATTCTATAAATTTGTTTTGAATAAATTAAATGCAAATATGTTCTATAGGACCTCGTCGCTCAATAATAGTTGCAGATAAACGATTACCACCTGGATGGCAAAAACATTTTACGCAAAGAAAGGCCGGTACGTCCGCCGGGAAATGGGATGTCTTATTTCTTCATAAATCAAGTGGGAAAAAGTTTCGATCGCGAAATGATATCAAGGTGTTCCTAGAAAATCAGGGGCAATTCGATTTTGATCCCGAGAAATTTGATTTCTGTATTCACCGGAAAAAGAAAAACTATGGGCAAAAATTAAAACAACCGATTACAATGGATGTACCAAAGAAGATCAAGACTTTATTACCTAAAGCAAAAACAGCAGTAACAGAAGATTCGTCGTTGGTTTCAGCAAGTACACCAGTTACAACATTAGTATCTACATCAACAACATCAATTACAGACGGTGGTAAGATTTCATATTCTATTTTTTATCTTTATAATTTTTGCTATGATCTTATTGGATTCATTACCTTTACATGCTTACTTACATCAGGAGTAATTTATTGTAAGTTCTTGAACGTAGTATTAAAAGTTTATTTTAAACTATATATATTAACTCCCTTTACTTCCTTAACTCCATTTATTAAAAATTTGTTGTAAATTATATATTCTATAAAGTTACCTTTGTATTCCTTAATAGCTGTTTTCATTGGCGGACTTCGCGTAGAGATGGAGGACAGTGCATATAAATGTCCAAAGCAAGGATGTAACAAGACATTTCGTAAAGAAAATCTTTTACAAATGCACATAAAACATTATCATCCAGAATACTCCAAATTTTTGGGATCTACGCCAAATGTTGCAGATTTAGCGTATGCAAGAACAATCGGAGAATCAGTCGAGGATATTATTCCAAAGAAATCAAATAACTTGTTAGACAAATGTAATAAACTTGGAAAGAAAAAACCTATTCATGATAAAGCATTATATACCGCGCCTTCGTCTGTAACAAATTTTGTTCAATCTACGTCGCCGAAAGTAATTTTACCGGCAACATCTGATATAGAGGATGAAATAGATCAAATAGAAAAATCTAACGATGTACCAGTAGAAGACATTAAATCAGAAAGAATGTCTCCAATTTCGAGTCATAGTATTGACATGGATGATGATATTGAAAAGAAACGAGATTCTTCGGCAATGTCACCTGGAACATTATTTGATATGAAAATTAAAGAAGAAAAAACACAAACTGGTATTAAAACTCTTCTTCCTGTAAGACCAGCAGTATCGTCAGAAGTGCAAAGGATTGACAGGCCAAAATCTTTAGATGAAGTTATTAATATTGATAGAATGAAGGGTCAACGGAAACGGCAATTATCAGAATACAGTTCTGATGGATTAAATAGGAATAAACGACGGAATGGTGGTAATAATTTCTTTTACTTTGTATTAGCATGATAAATTGAAAATATAAGATGTTATTACATAAATAGGTATTCCAGAACTTGATGAATATGGTGATTTGGATGATAGTGCGTTGGATACCGATGAACCGCCAACACTTACGTACAGATACAGTCGCAGGAAATCAGATTCCAGAAGCGATGAAAATAGTCAGAGTAGTAAGTTTTTTATAGTTAGACAAGTCATTTTATAATAAATACAGCTTTTTAATTTGTTTTTCTAAATTAAAGTGGCAAACTACTGTTTTATTATCTTATTTTTCTTTAGGTCAACTATATGATTCTCGCGTTGAAAAAGATGATACTTTGAAAGGGGATATTGCTAAAAAAGATACTAATGATGGGGAAGGTATATTTATTTTTTTTCATTTGCTTCAGTTTATATTATTAACTCTTTGTGATTGGTTGATGAACTTAACTTGGCGAACTATTTCCACTATCTTACTTGGTGGATAACCTGTTCATTTAAAAAATATATTATTTTTTTCCTCTTCCTTTTTTTGTTTGAAATTCAGAACTAACTCATACAGGTGTATGAATGTCGCACACTTGAAAATTTCAAAACGTGATTTTTTGCTACCATCTCTTTTATACAAAGTTATAAATTATATTTCTAGAAACTGAGGGTGTCATGATGATGATCAATGGCGAAATGGTAAAAGTGGAACAACTTCGTAGAGAAGAAATAATAAACTGTACTTGTGGATACATGGAAGAAGATGGTTTAATGATACAGTGTGACCTGTGTTTATGCTGGCAACATGGCCATTGTAATGCAATAGAAAGAGAAAAAGATGTACCCGAAAAATATGTTTGTTATATTTGTCAGAACCCATATAGACAACGGCCATCAAAGAAGTATTTCCACGATCAAGATTGGGTGAAAGAGGGAAAACTGCCAATGTTATCTGATCGAACAAAAAATCAGAATCAAGTAAATCAAAGAACAGCTATGCTAAAACGTTCTTATGATTTAGTTGCTTCTCTCTTGCAAATACAACAAGTATTGCACAGTTTAAGAGTAAAGATCAACGTAGCTCAGTAAGTATTACAATATTAAGCTTCTGAAAAGAAAAAAAAAATGAGAAGGAACGAAATCATTATTAAGGAGAAAAATTTGTTTATCATAGGAAAAAAGATCATCCAAAGCTATACCTTTGGGCGAAAAATTGGGAAAAGGTTGAAGTACCAAAACCAGATCTAACACCAATACCAATTATGGAAGTTACAAAATCAGGAAGTGAAGATGGAGATGATATAACTGAAACGTCTCATCGAGTCGAAGTAAAGACAGAAATAAAGTTCACTTTAAAAGATAATCACGATGAAAAATTAATAGCTTCAGACTCGGAGTTAATGAAAATTTTAGAAGAAGATAATCCAACTTCGGATGAATCTAAAGCTACATGCAAAAAAGAGGATTTAACAAATGAGAATAAAAGTCATATTCTTCTTGATGCGCTTACTAAAAGTGGTGGTATTGAAGAAAAATATAAAAATTCAACAACTTCGGAAATAAAACCGGATACAGGTAAAGTATGAAATAAATTTAAATCTTTCATAAGAATCACAAGATTATAATTTTATATTTTCTTATCTACAGATCTGTTAACTAATCAAAGCATTGTATCGGAAAATGATATATCTATGCCAGCTGCTTCAGAAAATAACATGCATGAAGAACTAAAACAGGAAACGACACCGATACAGCCTTTCATTCCCCAACCAGAAGCACCAATTGATCCAGGGGAATGTCGAATGCGATTATTAGAACATATTGAACATTTTCAAAATCATATAGATGCAAGATTAACATTTATTGAAGCACAAGTTTGTGGTATGTAAATTTCATTTTTTGTACATGGTGTAAAATCAAAGTATCTATTGTTGAGTTCATTGTTTACAGCACTGGAAGCTATGGATCCTGAAGATGTATCTAGTCCAGAAATTCAACCTCGAACTAAACAAACTGTTCAAATGCTTCTTCGAGATTTGAACACAGTACGAAAATTAGCCGCTCTGTGTTAAATGAAAATTATGTTCTTACAGAATATAATTTTTCTTCTTTAGTTTGATTTAAGAACTAACATTGTTATATAGCAAATGCACATTGTTTCATAACATATATTACCAGGAATAATTTATTACTGTACTATAAAATATATGTACAGTTTTGATTGAATAGGTGATTTATAATTATATTAGTGTTATTGTTTCAAAATTTCGTATTTTTTATATACATATGTAATATATGCTGCCCTTCGTGTAAATATAATAAAACTATTGTACTTGTAATATATATTTATTTACTAAAATAAAAGTCTGAAGATCTTTATTTAAATATGTGTACTTTTTCCATTTACAGCTTGGATACCAGTTCAAATATACATTTGGATTTGTCACATTAACATTCAGTTGTTTCTGAAGGAAGTCATACCTATTATGCATAGAAAAATTTCATGTATGTTATATATTCATAAATCATTGAAGGATGTTGTAGAAAAGAAACAAATTTATCTGATTTTTTTAAATTAATTTAATTTTCTGTTAAAAGTCAAAAAGAAAAATGCCTGCCGCCATCACAGTTCAACATGGTGATGACGTCAAAGAAGTTAGCGGTTTACAATCGGAGAGCAAACGAAAAACAAAGACGGTAAAAATATTTATCTGCATAAAGAAGAGAGAACAGAAAAGTATGTGTGCGCACGCCTAAAGAACGAAGAAGATAGTACCGACAGTGCAAAGGATGGGGAATAGAGGCGTGCAATAAGCAGTACGACAGGACGTAGAACGGCTGTTGCCGTGGTGTTTGGGCTCGGCTCGATTGTGTTGCATCCGTTATGACGATACGATAATCCAGCGCTTCGCGCTGTGACCGTGTAATACGTTGTTCGTGATTGCGTGTTACTAATGTTTATATTTTATCAAAAATTTCAAACAAATGTGATGGAGGTGTATTGTTTTGAAATTTGATTGGTACACTGATCTTTTCGTTGATCAATTATAGTTTGTTAATACGCCATGTGCCATTACTTCGTGTATGCTGCCTTTTTTCCCATCGGATTCGCAGGTTAAATTTCTATAAAAGTATCATTTAAAATTAGGTTCTTAGGGGATTATTCGGTGAAAAAATATCATTAGTGATTCAATGTTCTGTGTAGTGCAAAGGTGAGAAAAAAAAGGTACGTTCTTCTTTCTTCAATCTTGCATATTATTCAGCTTGATCGAAAGTCTGAAGGAGAGTAATAACCGGACGAATTGAAAAGAAGATAGACTACGGATTTGGTGAGCTTGAGTAAGGAAGATAACGCGACGAACACAAGTGGCGTATCAAGATGGCGCATAATTTGGCACCGAGCGTCAACTGTTCACTGGACGACATTGATCTGAATGCTTTAAAGGTACACAAATGAATAAAATGTGTTTGCTGCATTTCATTTAACATATAGAAAATTTATATTTAACATTTGATACTTTTCAATGCGAACATTCTTCGTAGGTTTGGAATACATGTAACGATCAGTAATTAACCTCGTAGGAATATACGATGACTATTTCTTCTCGGTAATGCGACAATGGAAAGAGTGGGGAAAATTTCCTTGAATTTTCTCTCCATAATATCATTTCAAATTAAACTAATAAAATCTGATGTCGGCGAGATTGTATTACTTTTAAAGTAATTTATATGAATCATTCACATTCTTTGACAGTTAATGACGCGAATAGAAATAACATGTACCTTATACTTAAAATATTCTTATGCAGATATCTGTTTATAAATATTTATTGAATTTGCATTATTTTAGTTATTTCTTTTACTTAATAATTTGTTTAATGAATGTAGAAATCCTGTATTATTATTCAGTCTTTATAATTAAACTAACAATCGTTTAATCAACATATTATTAAATTGTAAAAAAATAAATATAAGAAAATTAATTATTAGTATCTATTGTTATTTTAATGTTGTAGGAACCTGCAGGTATCTTTGAGTTGATTGAAGTGGTTGGAAATGGAACTTATGGACAAGTTTACAAAGTAAGTATACATTATAAAATTTATTCATTATAACATTTTGGGTATTACCTAAAAAGTACATAGGGAGAAATCATAGGTGACACGAGGAGAAGGATAATATGAAAGGTGAAGCATAAGTAGATTTAAAGTATGTGAGACTAATTTATGGAAGGTATATTTTATTCTATTATAATTCATGGCAAAGAATATTCTTAATTGTGGAAAATTATGTCATCTCCCATAACATCACTTAACTTAGTTTTAATTGGACTCTTATTAAAAGAGACAGAGAGCAGGGTAAAGGCTATGCACCCTAATATTATTGTTCATTTTAATTTAATAACATCATTGCATCAAGTTCAAAATGTGACTGCTTCTTTAAAAAGTACGGTTTGGAAGTAACTCGCGTAGTCGCGTGCGCGATAGGCTTACCGTAGTTGAGGGGAAATATAGAGTTCATCAACGTTATTTTTAATTACAAATTTGTTTAAGGATAATTATAATAATTTACTTATTTTACAGGGTCGTCATACCAAAACCGGCCAGTTGGCAGCCATCAAAGTTATGGACGTCACGGAAGTAAGTGTTTGCGTTAGAGATGTAATTATAATTCTCGTCACCGCATTAATTTTAATGCCTAACTAGTTGTAATGAATATGAAACTAGTTACTCGTTTTAATTAAGAGTTTTGAACTATATACGGTATCATTATATCGATATACATATGTAAGTTACAATTTCAAATGTTATTAATAATTATTTATTACAGGACGAAGAAGAAGAAATCAAGCTAGAAATAAATGTGTTGAAAAGGGTGAGTATTAATATACTTTAAATTATTGACGAAATAATGGCATATTGTTAAAGAAAAACATTAAAATTACCCTTATACCGCGATGCAGTATTCAAATCACAGAAATATAGCAACGTATTACGGTGCCTTCGTGAAGAAGTCATCACCAGGGAAAGATGATCAGTTATGGTTGGTTATGGAGTACTGCGGAGCTGGCTCCGTCACGGATCTTGTCAAATCGACTAAGGGCCAGAGTTTAAAGGAGGAATGGATTGCTTATATATCACGAGAAATATTGAGAGGACTTAGTTATCTTCACAGCAATAAGGTTATTCACAGGGATATTAAAGGACAGAATGTTCTGTTAACCGACAATGCGGAAGTTAAGCTTGGTACGTTTACAAGTCGTGGTATTTACTAAAAGAATTTCCTCCAGATTTTAACGATTCTTTCGTATGTTAATAGATCATGTAATTTAAGTAAATGAAATGTTGTATGTTGCAGTTGATTTTGGCGTTAGCGCGCAATTAGATCGGACAATAGGTAGAAGAAATACATTTATTGGTACGCCATATTGGATGGCTCCAGAAGTAATAGCTTGTGATGAAAATCCAGATGCCACGTATGATAATCGAAGTGACCTATGGTCACTCGGAATTACTGCTTTAGAAATGGCTGAATCGCAGCCTCCGCTTTGCGATCTCCATCCGATGCGAGTAAGTAAATGGAGTTTATCAAATTTCTCTTTTATTTTATATTATTAATGCTATTTAAAAGGATGCAATTTAATTTGGTGATTATACTTAATTCACATAAAAGGCTTTGTTTCTGATACCACGTAATCCACCGCCAAGACTCAAATCGAAAAAGTGGGCGAAGAAATTCCATGGTTTTATTGAAACGGTTTTAGTCAAAGATTATCATCAGCGGCCTTATACAGAGCAGCTCCTTAAACATCCTTTTATTCGGGACCAACCAACTGAAAGACAAGTTAGGATACAACTGAAAGATCATATCGATCGCTGTAAAAAGCGTAAACAAGAGAAAGGTATAAAAATAAGAGAAAGGGCAAGACGGATAACTTACAAACAAATTATTTATTACTTTTTGCTTGTCGTTACAGAAAGGGATGATTATCGATATAGTGGTAGCGAAAATGAAGAAGACGAACCAGCATTGGCTGGTGAACCGTCATCCATTGTTCAGGCACCAGGTGGTGATACATTACGTAGGAATTTCCAACAAATTCAAGAAGGTAGAACTTTAACTCAGGAGGTGGCTCCTCAACCACCTGCTGCTAAAGAAAAGCCAAGTGGCAGATCTCAAAGGGATATACCAGAACCAGGACCACCTGCACGACCTGCAATTCCTCATAGATTGATCGGTGTGTTTCATAGCGTATCGATGATTAGTGTTGCTTCTTTGATACACACAAAACAACTATTAAAGTTGTTTAAAATTTTACATAATTCTTTTTGCGTTATATAGTAGTTCCAGATCCACAACCACCATCTCGGCCATTACCTCCGACACCTAGAGACGATCCACGACAACCGCACAAAGTTTCAACTCCACCATCCAACCATCAACCGCTTATTTCTGGCGGTGGTAGCGGCGGTTCCGGTGGTCAAGCTGCGTCTCAAAGAAATAGTCATGTCTTTAAACCTATGGTAAGTTTTCTCGATTCGATTAGCACATAACACTTATCTCTCCTTGGATATTGTAACTCATTTTGCGTCATTTACTTTACGCCAATAAGAACTAATAAACGTAGTCTAAAAACTACTCTGGTCTATGAAAACTGTAGAAAGGCACATGCTATTTATATTCTATTTTGCCAACTTGCTGTCTCACAGCAACCCTAGTGTACTTTTTTTTTTCTTTTTTGTATAGTACATTTTATTACATATGTATGTGGTTATGTCTCCTATTCACTATCTTTGTTATAATCGAACAAGGGTATTTTACAATTATTTATCAATTGCACGCGGAATTTTCTTTATTTTGCTGTCATATTCAGTGGCGTGCACGCAAACAGCCGCACATTTATTTTTTAGTGCGCGCGCACTCAGTTGCATCTTTGAACACGACACGACACGACATACAATCACGCATACAAACATTAAACGTGAGAGGGTTAGGCGGGAGGGAGGGAGGGATGTGTGTGCGCGCGCGCGCCTTGTACTCAAATTTGGAATTATTGGGCTTTTGTTTTTTTCCATGTGTACATGTACCGTAGCTGCCACCAAGGAAACCAGAGGTAAGAACACATACACATAATTTATTCTTTACATATTACATATACATACAGTCACACTTGTTTCTATGTTGTCTACATATGTAAAATGTAAAACAATCAAGCATTTTTTTTTTTTCTCTTCAGTAACATAGATTTTGCTTCCTTCATTTTCACGCAAAATACTGTTTCATTT